CAAGTATCACACTGCGTTCACTATCTAGAATACCCTGGGCAACTTCACATTACCTCAGACCTGTTCTAAACTCTCCCACTAGTGGTGGGAGACTCAAATCCTACAAAAGCTGTGTCCCTGGCTCCATTCTTGCTGGAGTTGAGCTGGACACACACATATGTGCTCACCTCAGCTCCCAGAACCACATCCCACTTCTATTCTGCACGTGTCCAAACTTCCCAACACACAAAGACCAACTATCCCTAATGCAAATGCACTTCCGGCTAAGTGAATATCACAGATAATCTTATTTACCCTGGGCTGATTTTCCAGGTTGAACTAAACACTCCAAACCTCAAAATCCCAATGAATAGTGAATAAGTACCAAGTCCACAGGGAGTGTTACTGTTCTCAAATACACAACAAATCTGCCCCAGTTTCACATGCCTTCCTCTTTGAAAGTCTATGAAATCTGGTAAACTACTGTACTACACTCTACCTTCATGGCCACTTGCCCCTGTATCAGGATTGTACAACCCAATAGCACCACCCCATAAAGCACCAACAGGCAGTCCTCGGCTCCACCACTTTCCAAGCGTCCATAAAGGCTGCCTCCTAAATGCGATCCACTCCCTTAATCCAATAATACCGCACTGTAGATGCCTCCATACGCAACCACTTACTGATTCTCACGACTGCTGTGTTCAGCTCCTCAATTCCACTACTCAGTGGTTTCTGAAGCATCTCAGAGTGTTAACATGACCTATCACACCCGTGACATCCCCATGAATATTACATCTTTACCTTTGCGGACAGAACCTGCATTCCTGTGAAAACCCTAGGGTCATCCTTGAATCATTGCCTCCCTCACTATCCACATCGAAAATCCAACCATCATTTAAAAACTCAATTCCAGAAAGTAATCACCTCCCCTAAGCCACAACCCTGGCACGTGCACCTTCACCTGCGCGAGAGGCAGCCTCTACTCGACCTTCCACCATCTGCTACATTCTCCAGACTCGTGCTAGACCGCGAAGTCACCTGCTGCTTCTCGCCCGCACCTCCATCATGCAGGACAGACGCCTGACTGCTCAAGCGGCCATGGCGACCTCTCGCTAGCCAAGGAACACTGCAAAAAAAACCCACGGAACCGCCCGGGGCCTCGACGTCCTCACCGCCCCTTCTGCTCTGCTCTTCCTTCGGGAAGCTTCTGAGACCTCACAGGAGCCGTCCCGGGCACCTCGCCCGCTGCCGCACCGCACCGCACCTCAGGCATCACGGCGGAGCCTCGGCCACCAGCCACCCACCGACCGGGCCCGGGCCGCACACAAACAGGCCGCGCACGCGCACAGGCCTCACAGACCGCGCGCGTGCACACAAGCCGCGCACGCGCACAGACCTCGCAGAACGCGTGCACAGGCCCCCTCACCTAGGGCTCCGGTGGGCCGGGGCGCCGCGCTCACCTGGGCCGCGTTCCTCAGCGCGGCCGCCGCCATGGGACTCTGCGGGCGGAGCGGGAGCCCGGGCCTGACGCGACTCACCGCGAGCCGGCCTCGTTGCTGTGAGGCAAACGTCGGCTCTCCGCCATCACGGTCTCATCATCTCTACCGGGAAAATGGCCGCCACAAAGCCGAGGCCGAACTTCCGCCCTCACCCCCTCTGCTGCCATGGAAACGCCTAATGCCGAGCTCTCATTGGCTCACGCGCACGGGGGTTAGCACCGAGCATTCTGGGAAGTGTAGTTCCCCGTCAAAGATGGCGCTCTGGTGCTCAGCAGCGGAGGACCCCGAGGCGTTGGGAAAGCCTGGCGGGGCTTTGTTCAGGAAGAAGCGGGGCCGGGGCGCGCGGGCCGGGCTGGGGACACCGTCCCCGGGCGTGGGGTGTTCGTGGGGTAAAGGCAGGGCCTGGCCCCGAGGTGATGCAGCCAATGTGACTTCTGAGTGTTCGACACGGACAGGGAGGCGCCCGCTGTCTCTGCACTTGGGGCAGGAGGTGGCTGAAGTTGGGGGAAGCGTTTTTCTCAGGAAGGCACGCGTCCTGTCAGACAAGGGTTAGGATTTTGTTTTGTTTTGCAGTCCTGGGTCTTGAACTCAGGGCCTGGGCGCTGTCCCTTAGCGCTTCAGCTCAAGACCAGCGCTCTATCACTTGAGCCACAACGCCACTTCTGGCTTTTCTGTTTATGTGATGCTGAGGAATCGAACCCACGGCCTCGCTTGCGGGGCGAGCACTCTATCACTGAGCCACCTTCTAGCTGTTAGTTCTTAGGGTAAGGAACGCACCCCTCAGGAAGGAACGCGTTCTGTGGTCTCTCTCAGAAGCAAAGACAGCACTTCTGTGTTTCTAAATACCATATTTCTGAGTTGCCTTCCTCAAGGTCTCCTGTTTCATTTCCCCTAAAACGTCTTTTATTTCTTTAATCTGAAGGAAGTCCTTGAAGGAATAGCTCCTGTGTTTACTATAAGTTTACTACTATTCCTCATTTCCCCCTAATCTTATCTGGTTTCAGGTTCAACCAATTAAGCATAAAAAATTTCGGAGTATTTTGATGTATAACCAGTTTACTAAATGCCATATCTATTTCTCACCACTGAGATACATGTAGCCTATCTGGGAAGAAACAAAGTCTGAAAATGTGTGAGAACTTTTTTTGAAAATCATACTTTTCATAGCACATAAAACATGGGGCTAGGTAGGTTGCTCAGTGGTAGAGTGTTTATCTCGTATGCATGAGGCCCTGGGTTTGATTCCTCAGCACCACATAAGCAGAAAAAGCTGGAAAGTGGCGCTGTGGCTCAAATGGTAGAGCCGCTAGCCTTGAACTGAAGGACAGCGCCCAGGCCCAGAATTCAGGTCCTAGGACCCAGAAAAAAAACCCAAAAAACAAAAACACCAGAAAGTAATAAAGTTAGCATGTGTTAAAGTATGAGGAAAAACAACCATATTTTGCAAATATATGCATAATCTGTGTTTTATGATTTTGGAGAAAGGGTGAACTGCTCAGTATTTTCTGTTTATCAAGAAAATGTTTTTTTTTTTGCCAGTCCTGGGGCTTGAACTCTGGGCCTAGACTCTGTCCCTGAGCTTTTGATCAAAATTAGTGCTCTACCACTTGAGCCACAGCGCCACTTCTGGCTTTTTTCTTTTTGCTTATGTGGTGCTGAGGAATCGAACCCAGGGCCTTATGCATGCAAGGCAAGTGCTCTACCACTGAGCCACCTTCCCAGCCCCACTTCCAGCTTTTTCTGAGTAGTTTATTGGAGATAAGAGTCTCACAGACTTTCCTGCCCGGGCTGGCTTCAAACTGCAATCCTTATATGTTAGCCTCCTAAGTAGCTTAGGATTACAGATGTGAGCTACTGGTACCCGGCTATTTATTTTTTTATCTTGTTTTATTATTTTACTTTGAAAGGGTCATCATGGATTTGTTTTAGCGAAGCCACAACAATGAGAAATGAGCACCAGCCACTGGCTTGCACTCAAAACAGGAGAATTATACATACTCCTAACAGAGTAAACAGTGAAATGAGACAAGAGGTCTCTGGACCTTGGAGGTATGTGCCTATAAGCAAATGGCTTTGATGAATTTTTTGGATTTTTTTCTTTTGTCTCCAAGATGCACTTTCTTTCCTTACCAGAGCACTGTGGAAAAAAAAAAAAAAAAGCCAGGCACCAGTAGCTCATACCTATAACCCTAGCTACTCAGGAGCCTGAGATCTGAAGATCTCAGCTTGAAGCCAGCATCAGCAACAAGGTCCAGGAAACTCATCTCTAGTTAACCAGCACAAAGCCAGAGGTGGAGCTGTGGCTCAGGTGGCAGAGTATTACTAGCCTAGAGCAAAAAAGGTCAGGTAAGGTGCCCAGGCCCTGAATTCAAATCTCAGGACCTGCTCACTCTCACACACTCTTCTCTCTCTCTGTCAGTCTCTCTCTCTCCCTCTTTCTCCCTCTCTTTCCCTCTCTCCTCTCCTTCCCCCCTCTGAATTCACCTGAGGATTGTTTCCTCACTATCTTTTTTTTTTTTCCTGGTTATGGGGCCTGAACTCTGGGTCTGGGCGCTGTCCCTCAGCTCTTCAGCTCAGGGCTAGCGCTCTACCACTGGAGCCACAAGCGCCACTTCCGGCTTTTTCTGTTTATGTGGTGCTGAGGAATCGAACCCAGGGCCTCATGCTTGCAAGGCATGCACTCTGCCGCTGAGCTACCTTCCCAGCCCTGTTTCCTCACTATCTTGCCTGAGTAAATCCAATTCCTATCTGCCATGACTTGGGTCATTTCTACACAGCACTGTGGAATTGAGACCCAATTTCCAGTTCTCACAGCTGTCCCAGCAAGCTGACCACCCCCATGCCCACTTACCTTGCTCCACACAGAATTCTTTCTCTGAATGACTTAAGTTAGTTTGGAAATACTCATCTCCCTTACTTCCCACCCACCATGTTTGGAAGAAATGAATAGAAAGCTACACTTCTTCCAGTATCTCTTTGCCAAGGAAATTATTGTCTTCCCAAGTGGAATGCATTCTTGAATTTTAAGAGGTAGGCATTAGAGTTACATATTCATTTATCCAACTGATATTTATTGGACAGCCACTTCCTACACATTTAAAGTACTTCAGTGAACAAAAGATGAGGCATCTCCTACCCTCTTTTAGCGTCTCCATTTAGTGGAAGGAGACAGTAAAATGACAGAATCATCTATAAACACATATAATCCTTTGAACAATGATTCAGTGATAGAAACTATACATATGTATATATAAACACACACATACACAAGTTCAGGTATGTGCACATTACAGGACAGTAACTGAAGATACTATGTAGAAGGAACACTTTTCTCTCTGTGTGTGCTGGTACCACGGCTTGAACTCAAGGCTTGGGAGCTCTCCCTTTGCTTTTTTTTTGCTTTCAGTTCACCACTGGAGCTGCAGCTCCACTTCAGCTTTTGAGTGGTTAAATGGAAATAAGAATTTTATGGACTTTGCTGCCCAGACTGGCTTTGAGCCTCAATCCTCAGACCTCAGCCTATTGAGTATCTGAGATTATTGTTCTGAGCCCCGCCCCCATGGTCCAGGGAGGAAGATTTTTGAGTCTGCTTTTTTTGGTGGTGAAACACTTGTGTGTCCGATGTGTTTGGTGAATCCTCAGGTGGCGATGGTATGTGGATGACTGGCGGTAACTTCTCTGGCAAAGGGAGCAGGTGTAGGGCTTCTCCCCAGTGTGGATCCGTTCATGAGCCTGCAGGTTGGTGCTGTGGCTGAAGGACTTTTCACATCTGCTGCACACAAACGGCTTCTTTGTTGTGTGAATTATCTGATGCACTCCTAGGTCTGAGGTCTGATACCTTTGTGACACTCGGTGCAGAGAAATGGCCTCTCGTTCCTGTGCCTTTTTTGGTGGGCCAGAAAGCGAGAGAGATATGCGAAGGTTTTGGAACATTCCTTACACTCATACACTTTCTGAACTTGGGAGGATCTTCCTTGGTGTTTGTCATTGCTCTGGTGAGTAGGGTTGAGCTCAGGGAAGGACCTGACTGACATGGAGAAAAACTCTAGTTGCCCCTCCGAAGGGCCATCCTGATCATTTGGTCTCTTCAGGAATTCTTCTTGGGACCCAGAGGCTCTTCTGGGGTCCCCACAAGAAACCCTTCTTCATCTGTCCTAGAGCCATTTTCTCTCTGGATAATATAGAGGGGAGCTGTGTGATTCCCTTGACCAGTAGTAAGACTGTCATCTGCTTGGGTGGTTTTCCAGCCATTTCTGTAACCAGCTTCATTTCCTGTGGAAATAAGTTAATGCCATGAAAGTGTGCCCTAGAAAAGATGGCCCAGGAGTTCCTGCCAGTCACCTGACCTACCTGCTCCCAAGGCTGGGTCTGAGGCAGTCCCAGAGAACATCCCTGCAGCCCCTCCTGTTGGGGTTTCTGCTAACATCTGTTTGAAATGAACGATGACTTCTCTTAAGGGCATGTGCTCAGAGAAAAGGGCTTCTCGGCCCTGCATGTGGACACGGACCTGTAAAAAAAAAATAAAAAAGATGCTTTTTCATCTGACAACCTACCCTCAGTGAGCTTTTCTACAATCTCATCTAGGCACTGGGCACTGTGTCTTTCCCAGTTCTCTCTGATGGTACTGCTCTCACAAGATTTCATGTTGTCAAGTCATAAAGACACCCAATTAGCAAATATTAGATCATTGGTGAGGCAGAATGTTTTGTTTTGTTTTGTTTTTGGGCCCGGTCGTGGGGCCTGAACTCTGGGCCTGGGCACTGTCCCTCAGCTCTTCAGCTCAAGGATAGTGCTCTACCACTTGAGCCACAGCGCCACTTCCACCTTTTTTTTTTTTCTTTTTGCTTATGTGGTGCTGAGGAATCGAACCCATGGCCTCTGGCATGCACGGCAAGTGCTCTACCACTGAGCTACCTTCCCAGCCCTGGTGAGGCAGAATGTAAGCGTGGTTTCTTGTGAGCTTTTGGCCACAATTATTGTCATACGTTTTTTGATATAGCCATATGTTTTTGATGACTTAGCACAGAACACATGGCCAGCAGCCTAAAACTCAGACCTGAATGAAACACACCCAGCACATAAACTATCTTTGTGAGGGGGTGAATAATTTCCCAACACTTAGGAACACCATTAGACTGCACTGTACTTCACAATGAAATTAACAAAAATCTGGAACGGTGGAAATGTAGCATGAAATTGACTGTTCGAGGAAGACAGGTCCAGGATGGCCTGATTCTGTGTGCCCACCAGGTGGCTGAAATGTTCTGCTATGTTGCATTGTCTGTAAAGGACCAAGAATGTGTCATGGGACCAGGAATTTTGCAACCGTGGAATCTGATAATAAGGATCTGTTATGTTTGTCCTGATCAGTAAAATTATATTGTGACCCTTTGAAGAATCAGTTCTTTTTTTTTTTTTTGGTTGGTCGTGGGGCTTGAACTCTGGGCCTGGGTGCTGTCCCTCAGCTCTTCAGCTCAAGGCTAGTGCTCTACCACTTGAGCTACAGCACCACTTCCGGTTTTCTGATGGTTTATTGGAGATAGGAGTCTCACGGTCTCTCCTACCTGGGCTAGCTTTGAACCGTGATCCTCAGATCTCAGCCTCCTGAGTAGCTAGGATCACAGGCGTGAGCCACCGCTTGAAGAATCAGTTCTTATCAAAGCCTTCCTTCTTCATTCCTGAAGTCTCTCTCTGACTACGTGCTAATCTCTGAGACAGTTCCTCTTGCCTCTACCCTACTTGAAGGTGATGAACTCCATCAAGCAAGCAACCGGTCATTGGCTCCAATGTGTCCGGCAGGATAAAGATTTCAGACCTTTCTGCCTTTTTCCTGCTAACTTGGAGCACTGGAAATCTTCCATGGCCGGGAGCATGTGGACTTATATAACGCTTCTCTACGTCTAGGAAAGTTCTGGACTTCTCTCCATCCCTTAGCCCAGATCAGAACTCGGCACTCACCAAGTCAGGTGTCTTCACACAGTCATCTGTCAGCACTTCCAGTAGTTTCTCTAGGCTTCTGCCACTGGACTCCCATTTCTCTTTCAAGTCAGTCTTGTCTTTGCAGTATCCACTAATAATGAACTGCTCCAGAACCAGCTGGGAGATAATTTCCTCCTTGCTGTGTTTTTCTGGTTGCAGCCATGAATGAAAAAAACGGATAAGAGTCTTTGCAGCTCCTGCCTTGCACCCAAGTTGCTGCTGTGTTGAGGAAACTCGAGCTGACTGCTGGAGAACACAGAGACCTCTTCCTTCTTGACAGTGGAGCCATGGGTTGGGTTAAACTCAAGATTTCCAAAGGTGAGATTATCCAGAGATGACTCATGTTGAAAGGATCGTTGGAGGCTTAGAGTCATTCTTAGAAGAGTTGTTGGAAAGATTCTACTTTAAACAAGTACTTCTCACTGTCTGGTGTCTCTGGGGATCAGTTTCAACAATTGGTAGGTTTTTAAAGGTTGTGATCTGGAAGTAGGAAGATATATAATTAGGCAAATCAAGTAACTGGGACTTGAATGCAAGGCTTTGCACCCTCACTGGGCTTTTTCTGATCAAGGCTAGCATTCTACCATTTGAGTCACAGTGCCACATCTGCCTTTTTGCTTGTTAATTGCAGATAAGAGACTCCACAAACTTTTCTGCTGGCCTTAAACCTCTATGCTCAGCTCTCCTGAGTAGCTAGGATGACAGGTGTGAGCCCAACTTTTTTCTCATGTTATATATTGTTAACATTTCATGTTTTGTACTTTTTAAAAAGAAACCTTTATTTTCTTGTCTCCTAAACCCTGCTTTCATTATTTGTGAGTTCATATTGTTAGGGGTGGGGGGAAGGTGGGGGAACCACCTTTCTTTTCTTTCTTCTCCGGGCCTGGGCACTGTCCCTCAGCTCTTCAGCTCAAGACTAGCACTCTATCACTTGAGCCACAGCGCCATTTCCAGCTTCTTCTGCTTATGTGGTGCTGAGGAATTGAACCCAGGGCCTCCTACCACTGGTCCATCTTCCCAGCCCTCATGTTTTGTACTTTTAAAACAGCAAAGTTCATGCTGTAAAAATTAGAAAAGAAAGAGGATGTTTGTTAGGAGGGATACATAAACACTTAAATATCTGATCCATTTCTGAGTTGAAGTCATTTCATTTTGCATTACATAGCCACGATGATGTCATGAATTAATGAGTCAATATTACTCCCTTAAGCCTTCCTCCGTGAAGGCCTGGAAACCCTGCCGTGAAGGCCTGGAAACCCTGCTCCGTGGTAGAGTACCCACCTAGCAAGGGCAAGGCCTGGGTTCAGTCCTCAAGACCTCAAAACAGAACACAGGAACAACAAAACCAACTTCTTAGGTGGGCATTGAATGTGCTTTGCCTTTCCCTAGTCTGTTTACCATGGAGCTTCTGGTCTCTCGGTTTACGATATCGCTTTGCTCCTGCCACGCTTAGGGCCCAGTGCTCTCCTGACTTGCCAGCCCCAGGGGGAAGTACCGAGGCCCTCCTTGAGCTACAAGGATTTTCTGGGCCAGTTCCAAATCTCTCCAGCCCCATCTTGGGTTTCAGGCTTGGTGTTGAGGTCTGGTCTGGGCTCTCTCTGTGTCTCTCTCTATGAGACTTGTGCCACCTTCATCTGGGCCTCACAGAAACTCTCTTCCCCAAACCCCTTCTACTCCCTAACCTGACCCTTCCCCCACACCCCCACGCTTAGCAGACAATCTGCCACGTCCACAGGGAGAAAGCTGCTTTGAGGACAGTGGATCCAAAGCCTTGTTCCCCGAGGTTCTGCTCTCAAATCTGGTGTTAGACGTGTAAGCCAGGTGTGCCACCACGCAGCAGGTCCCTGTCTGTGGCAAGGGGCCTTGAATCTCTAAAGACACAGCTGCCAGCGTCACTGCAGGACCTGAGTTAACACACACAAAGCACGTAGGCAACCACTGGCTACTGAACACCCAACACTCCCTCCCACCCCACCCAAGGCCAGCCACGGCCTCAGAATAGTAAATGGAAATGACAAATAGAAATAATTTGTCATTTTAAACAGTGCGGCATTCTGAGCAATGGAAAAAATCCCTGCTGGCCTCTCCTTTTCAAAGTCCAGGACATTTGTGCCGGCCCCCTCCCCGCCCCCCGCCCCGTGTTTATGTGCAAGCCAACATCATGCAGGTCATGCAAGACCAAGCAGTATCGTAGGCAATTCTCACATAAATAGTGAACCCAAAGTGCAAGAGTGGCAACTCAGGTATATTGCATGTGCCAAAGAAAGCCATAAACTGCCAGCCCAGGCAGGAAAGTGTGAGACTTTCTTTTTTTTTTGGGTCCAGTCGTAGGGCCTGAACTCTGGGCCTGGGCGCTGTCCCTCAGCTCTTCAGCTCAAGGCTAGCGCTCTACCACTTGAGCCACAGCGCCACTTCCGGCTTTTTTTCTTTTTGCTTACATGGTGCTGAGGAATCGAACCCAGGGCCTCATGCATGCAAGGCAAGCGCTCTACTACTGAGCCACCTTCCCAGCCCAAGTGTGAGACTTTTATCTCCAATTAGCCACCAAAGAAGCTGGAAATGGAGATGAAGCTCAAGTGGTAGAGAGCCAGCCTTGTGGGGAAAAAGCTCAGGGACAGCACCCTGGCCCTCAGTTCAAGCCAGTGAGGGGTTGGATAGATGGATGGATAGACAGATAGATAGATGGATAGAACATACTTGATGCCGCGGACTTGATGTCAGGACGACGGAGGACACCTAGTGGAGGTAACTGGAATAGGTGGGGAGATGGCAAACAGACAACTCACACACAAGAGGAGTGGATGCTGAGTGCGATTTAATGCAGAGGATAACAAACTTTTATAGCAAAAGTCTCCATAAGAAAGGGCAAAAGGTTACACAATCTTGCTGCAAGGCTTCGTTCTTGGGTGGTCACCAGCTGGTCGCCTGATCTTGTTTTTTGGATGACAGCTATGAGGATAGGCACTTGTTCCAGGCTTTACCTCTATTTTTAAGAAATACAATGGGTTTCGATGTTTATCACCTATTAACCATTAACCAGAGCATATGGGCAAGCTGCTGAACAGAAAGGCATGAACTCTAGTACTTCATAGTTACTTTTTAGTTTTGTACTTTATACGTTTCAAATCTTTTCTAAGCAATTGTGCTTCTTTGCCATTCTTTAGAGGGTCCTCAATTTGTGGCCAAAAATCATGATATTCAGTATACTTAGTTAAATCTGGCCATATATCAAATTCAAGCTCATAGTGTCTTTTCTGTAACCCTTTCACATAATCGTTTACTCTTTTTTATAAAGGCCTTAACTGTCTCATAAGATCTTTCTTGTTCCTTCTTTAATAGTAAGCACCAAGGAGACCTAGATCTAGCAAGTCTCTCAGTAAATGAAAGAGAATAACAGGAAGTTCTTTCTCCTAAGTAGTTTTCCCAACGATTGCCATCCTTATCATACACACCTGTAAAAGGCTATGGATCTGGGGGAAGTCTTTGGGGTCCTCTAGATAATGGAGGATCCCACCATTTTCCTCTGATAAGCCATTGCCACCTTTCATCTACCAACCTTTTAGGAATCTTATTTAGCTTTTGGTCTAAATATCCCTCTACATCTTTCTTATCTACAGGATATCTATATGAATCTATTGTATATGCTTTAGGATTAAAGGAAAGTCTCCAATAGCCATACACTCTTTCTGCTCTAGCTGTGCCTACAGCTTCTTGTAAATCTCTTACAAACAATTCCTTCTGCTGAAGTGACGTCATGAACCCCGCAATACTTTTATATTTACTTATGACTTGTCTACTAGCCTCCATAAGAGGGGCTTTCAGGGTAGCACTTAACTCTGGTGAGTTAGTCATATTCTCAAGACACTCATCAGATGTTGGAGTCGTCAACACTTCCAAGAAAGAGCCTTGAATAAGGGGACGTTGAGCATGAGTAACTACAATAAGCAGCAGGAACAGTAAAAGATTAATAGGCGCTCCTATACAGTGAAGAAAAGAAAAACAGCAACACATCTTTCCCAGGGGCTCGCCAGCCTTTCCAGGAGGAAGGCCTCTTCGAAGCCCCATTCTCTGAGGTAGACTTCGGTGAAGTCCCATGCTAAGCAGACTCCACCGGAGTAGGCGTGGCAACTTGACTCAATAACAGATGCTTAATCTGAGAATGCTAAGGTCTTTGGTAAGAACAGAACACAGTAGCTTATAATCCCATCTATTTGCCAGTTAGGAAGGATTTTAAGTTCCAGGCTAGAACTTAAAATCCTGTCTTGAAAATAAAAACAAAAGGATTGGGGCTGCAGCTCAGTGGTAGAGAGCTCTTCTAGCAAGGGTGAGGAAGGCCTGAGTTCAGTCTCCAGTCCTGGAGGGGCAGAGAGAGGTGAAGTACCATTCTTGTTTCAGGCATCCATAGAGCATCTCAGACTGACCACCGTGCATAAGATGGTATAGCTGTAATTGATACTTGGTTTTAAATTTCAACAACTACCCCAACTCCAATCTATTGACCAACACTTTTGTAAGAGGTAACACAAATGAACGACCAGAAGCATAACAGTAATTAACAAGATATACCAGAACATTAACAGGATTCACCTGAACATTAACAAGATGCATCTGGAACATTAACAAGATGCACCAGAACTAAATTAACAAGACTCACCCCAAATATTAAAAGACTCATCTAGAAGATAGGCCCCCTTTACACATGAACCCCAGCATCAAGACATTTGAGTCAGAATAGTTTTATCAAAAAAAACAAGAAATACTTCTAGGAAACCCCCCTCTCTAGGTAATCAGAAATTTTCCTCAACAATACCCCCATACCTGTGCATGCACACTCCAACATACAATGTGGCTGATTTTCCTTTCATTCATGAAGCTCACCTCAGAGGAACTTCAGAGTGATAGGCTGCACGCTGAGCTTCCTGGCTAGCTCTTTGCTCTGCAGTAATCTAAAGTTCTTCCTAAACCTCTTTTCTCTTACAGGATCTTTTATAGGGCTAGATTAGTGGATTGGCTGTGTGTGAGCCACACCTGTAATCCCAGGACTGTGGACAAGGCCCGCATAGGCTAAGACTCAGTCTTACAGAACAAAACAAACAAAAAACCATGCTCTAGGATTGAATTACCCTTGGAATTTTTGTAGTCATGGGGCTTGAACTCAGGGACTAGGCCCTGTCCTTGAGCTCTTTTGCTCAAGGCTAGTGCTGTACCACTCTGAGCCACAGCACAGTTCTGATTTTTTGGTGATTAATTGGAGCCTTATAGGCTTTTCTGCTCAGGCTGGCTTTGAACCTCAATTCTCAGATCCCAGCCTCCTGAGTAGCTAGGATTATAGGCATGCATGCACCAATGGTGCCCAGATACTCTTGGAATCTTTTTTTTTTTTTTTGCTAGTCCTGGGGCTTGATCTCAGGGCCTGGGCACTATCCCTGAGCTTCTTTTGTTCAAGGCTAGCACTCTACCACTTGAGCCACAGTGCCACTTCTGACTTTTTCTGTTTATGTGGTACTGAGGAATCACAGGGCTTCCTGCATGCTAGGCGAGCACTGTACCACTAAGCCACATTCTGAATCCCTACTCTTGGACTCAACCCAACCAGAGTTCCAGATTTCATATATATATATATATATATATATATATATATATATATATATATATATATATATATATATATATATATATATATATATATATATATATATATATATATATTTGGTGCTAGTCCTGGAGCTTGAACTCAAGGCCTAGGTGCTGTGCTTGAAGTTTTTTTTTTCTCAAATAGTCAAAGCTCCACTTTGGCATTTTGCTAGCTAATTAGAGATAAAGTTTCATGGGCTTTCTTGCCCAGGCTGGCTTTGAACAGTGATCCTCAGAGCTCAGACTCCTAAGTAGCTAGCATGACAGGTGTGAGCCTCTTGTGTCCGGCCAGATTTCCAGCACTAAGATGTCACCTCTAGGTATCAGGAGACCACGAACACATTTCCATATTCTTATTAAGACAGAATATTAAGATCAGCACTAGGCTGGGTGCCTGTTATTCACAACTCATGGGCAGCCATGGTAGAAATGGGATGGAATATTCCTAGCATCTTTTTTCCCACCCTGTACCCACTAATCTCATTTTGACATTGATTTACCACAGGAAAGCCATCAGCCCATCAAACCATGTTATTGAATTGTCACTATAGAGAATATCTGAGCAGCCAGGTGCTTGTGGCTCACACCTGTAATCCCAGCTATTCAGGAAGCTCAGATCTGAGGACTGAGTTTGAAGCCAGCCTGGGGAGAAAAGTACCCGTGAGACTCATCTCCAATAAACCACTCAAAAACTGGAAGTGGTACTGTGGCTCAAGTGGTAGAGCTGGCCTTGAGCACAAAGAGGCTCAGGGATAGTGCCCAGGCCAAGTTCAAGCTCCACAACCAACAAAAATAAAATAATAATATATGAGAGAGAGAGGGAGAGGGAGAGGGAGAGGGAGAGGGAGAGGGAGAGGGAGAAGTAGAGAATGGTAGCAATACAGATTAAACTTAGAAGTGTGGTGGTTGGGCACCGGTGGCTCACACCTGTAATCCTAGCTACTCAGAAGGCTGAGATCTTGAGGATCACAGTTCAAAGCCAGCCTGGGCAGGAAAGTCCATGAGACTCTATCTCCAATTAACCACCAGAAAACCAGAAGTGATGCTGTGGCTCAAGTGGTAGAGCGATCACCTTGAGCTGAAGAGCTAAGGGACAGCACCCAGGCTCAGATTCAAGCCCCATGAGGGACCAAAAAAAAAAAACAGGTATGACATGTAAGTGGATCAAAAATGTGCTATTTATTAAGAGAAAAAACAAGAAAATGAGCTATTTGTTAAAGGGAACAATATAATTCACAAGGAACAGACAAAAATATATGAGCAGACATTTTTACCAAAGACACACAATGACAAATACATGTGAAAGCAGCCAACATCACAATCCTGACAGTAATGCAGAATTATATCAATAAGACCAAATCCTAAGAGGCAGATGACACAGATGTTGGTAAGGATATGGAGGTAGCATTCTTGCTGAGTAAGTGAAAGGAAATAACCACATTGGTTCCCAGTTTGGCAGTTTCTTCCTCAGGTAACATTTACCTGTGTCTCAGGTATTGCACTTCGATTGTTAACACAAAGGAAGGCAAACTCTATTGCACACATTTGCAGCAGCTATACTTGGAGTTACGCCAAACCAGAGACAACCCAAATGCCCATAGATGAGAGAGAGGCGTGGTGCAACAACTTGTCTGTCCACAGAAAACAAACTGCTCAGCAATAAAATGAACAGTGCAGATAAGAATCTTTAAAGAATCTCAAAACAAAGCTGGGCGCCAGTGGCTCACGCCTGTCATCCTAGCTACTCAGAGGCTGAGATCTGAGGACCCACGATTCAAAGCCAGCGGGGCTAGGGAACTTCATGAGACTTTTATCTCCAATAAACCACTCAGAAAACCAGAAGTAGTGCTGTGGTTCAAGTGGTAGAGTGCTCACCTTGAGCTGAAGAGCTGAGGGACAGCACCCAGGCCCAGAGTTCAAGCCCCATGACCGACACACACACAACTCGAAACAAGTAGGTTCTCATAATAAATTAGGAAAAAATAAACACTTGGTGAAACAAATTGCCTAAAATCCCAGGAATACAGTCTGTTACATAAATGAATGTAAATCAGTGATTGCCTGAAGGCCAGGAATGTGAGAGAGAGACTAGAGAAGGACGTGAACTACCAATGTATTCATTGTCTTAATGAGCTTAGTAATACTAGGAAACATAGCAATATTAACTCCGTGTCTTTATTGATGCCCTGACTGAGTGGCAGCACGTGAGGTTCCTTCCCACTCAGGATGAAGGCTGGGTCATAAGGCTACATCACTGAAGAAGGGATCTCTCTTCTCTACGTTTCCCTTCCTGGCCTGTCAGGCAGCTGGTGATCCTCAGATCTCAGCCTTCAATAGACCTCTAGTAAGATTTCTGGAATGGAATACACAAAACTTTTAGCTTTTTTTTTTTTTTGGTCGGTCGTGGGGCTTGAACTCTGGGCCTGGGGGCTGTCCCTCAGCTCTTCAGCTCAAGGCTAGCGCTCTACCACTTGAGCTACAGCGCCATTTCCGGTTTTCTGGTGGTTTATTGGAGATAGGAGTCTCATGGTCTCTCCTGCCCGGGCTGGCTTTGAACCGCGATCCTCAGATCTCAGCCTCCTGAGTAGCTAGGATTACAGGCGTGAGCCACCAGCGCCCGGTTTTGGCTTAATTTTTTTGACAATGATCTCTACAGAACATCCTATCGCTGGAGATGCTGAGAGCTTTTGTCCACATGGGTCTTGTGCAGTCACATTTTACAAGGTACAAATGTCCTCTAATTCTGAAGTTTCCCCTCCTCCCCATCAATGAGGTGTTTCTGTACCAACTGTAGCTCCCTCTGGCAGCTGTAATCTTACATGACGAATCTGTACTGAGCCTTGGGTATTGGTACTCAGTACCTCTGCAGGATCTCAAGCAAAGAAGCATGAGGAACCAGCTCATGGTTCCCCAAAGCCCTGGTCCTCACAATATCCTGCTTCCTTAAGGTGCCCCAGAGCCCACAAAAGATTCTGGCTCTGATTCACCACTCAGGGCCATCAGAGCCTGCAGTCATTCCCAGGGGGACCAGGGCTACACACTCCCACTGTACCACTGTCTCTGAGACAGGTTACCTGGGTCTCCTGCCTCCAACACTGAATGCCACTTGTTATGCGATGCTGGCAGGGCCCAGTTCTGTTCTCAAGCCATCTCACAGCGAACAGAATCCCAAGATCACAGACAGGTAGCTTAAATAGAAATTTTATTACTACAAAAACTAAGAGATCGGGGCTGGGAAGGTGGCTCAGTGGTAGAGCGTTTGCCTTGCATGCATGAGGCCCTGGGTTCGATTCCTCAGCACCACATAAGCAAAAAGAAAAAAGCCGGCTCAAGTGGTAGAGTGCTAGCCTTGAGCTGAAGAGCTGAGGGACAGTGCCCAGGCCCAGAGTTCAGGCCCCACGACTGGACACCAAAAAAACCCACAAAAAACAAAAAACTAAGAGACCAGCTGGGTGCCGGTGGCTCACGCCTGTAATCCTAGCTACTCGGGAGACTGAGATCTGAGGATCTTGGTTCAAAGCCAACCCGGGAAGTGGTGCTGTGGCTCAAGTGGTAGAGCGCTCACCTTGAGCTGAAGAGTGCAGGGACAGCGCCCAAGCCCAGAGTTCAAGCCCCACAACCAACAAAAACAAAAAAGAAAACAAAGCCAGCCTGGGCAGGAAAGACTGTGAGACTCCTATCTCCAATAAACCACTAGAAAACCGGAAGTGGCACTGTAGCTCAAGTAATAGAGCGCTCGCCTTGAGTTGAAGAGCTGAGGGACAGTGTCCAGGCCTAGAGTTCAAGCTCCACAACTGACAAAAAAAAAAAACAACAAAAAACAAAAACAACTAAGAGACCTTGAGGCAAGCAATTTCCAATCAGTGACTTGGAGACTGTCCTGAGACTAACAAGTTCATGAAATCAGTTCTGGCCAGGCTGCCCCCAGATACTTCCTCTGGGGTCACAGGTATCAAACTGGGTCAAGTTCATGTCCTGTTTCAAGAATGGGATGGCATGAGGGTCAGCAAGCGGCAAAAAGGCAGGTCATTTTCCCCGACATGTGACAGTGATGATGTCACACTGTGTGCCCTTGGTGGAGATGGCAGTAAAATGGCTCTGCCTAGAATGGCAAGGGACTGCACAGGTTAGAAGGGGCAACCTCTTCTTAAAGCCTCTGAGTGCCTGGAACTTCAGTCTGGGGTGGGCGGTTCTCCCACGTGGTCTCATCTGGTATCATGACACTAGGAAAGCTAATGCTTTACTCCAGTGTGGACTCTCCGGCATTGAATGAGGATAGACCTGCAGGCGAAGCCTTTCCCAGTCACGGCGCTGGTAGGGCTTTTGTGTGTCCAGCTGCCAGTGCTGAATAAGGCTGGATTCTGGCTGAAGCACTTCCCGCAGTCAGTGCACTGGTAAGGCCTTTCTCCAGTGTGAATCCTCAGGTGTTTGATAAGGTTAGATTTGCAGCTAAATGACTTTCCACACTCCCTGCACTCCATGGGCCTTTCCTCAGTGTGAACTCTCTGGTGGGTCTTAAGGTTAGAGCTATGGCTGAAGGACTTCCTGCATTCCCTACATGCATAGGGCTTTTTCCCCATGTGGACTTTCCAATGTGAACTGAAGCTGGAGCTTTGCTTAAAAGACTTCCCACATTTACTGCACTGCGATGTGGAGTCTCTGGTGGTGGATGAGGCTGGAGCTGCGGCTAAAGGCTTTCCCACACTCACAGCACTTTCTCCAGTGTGGATGCGCTGGTGGTAGATGAGCCTAAAGTTTTGGCTAAAGGACTTCCCACATTCTCTGCACTCGTAAGGCTTTTCTCCAGCATGGACTCGCTGGTGCTGAATGAGGTTGGATCTTTGGTAAAGAATTTCCCACATTCTCTGCACTCGTAACGCCTTTCTCCAATGTGAACTTTCTGGTGGCTGTTGAGGCTGTAGATCTGACCGAAGCCACTTCCCACACTCACTTCACGAGTAAGGCCTCTCTCCAGTGTGGACTCGCCAGTGTATCACGAAGCTGGAGTAGTAGGTAAAACACTTTCCACACTCGCTGTAAGGCCTGACCTCACCGTGCACTTTCTGGTGCTGGATGAGGTTACACCTTCATGTACAGGCTTTTCCACACTTGTGGACTCAAAAAGCCCTTCCCTGATGAGGACTCTCTGGTCCTGAACAAATGTGCTGATGTGGCTGAAGGTTTTCTTACATTTTCCCCAGCATGATGACTTTTCCACTGTGCAAGGCCACCCCACACTTGTCACCACTGGTTGGGTTCTTTCCTGTGTCTTGTTGATGAGGGAACACCACACTGGGTGAGAAGCCCTTGGCAATTTCTTTGCAGGTGAAAGTTTCCCTGACACGCGGATTGTACGTGAGTCTATCCACACAGCTTCCAAATGGCAGCTCTCTGACATGCTGCCGGTGATGCTGTAACCCTGCTGTGAGGTATGGCTGTGCCTTGTATGTGTACGGCTTCTTCCTGCTGTGTGTCCCATGGTGCTGAGCTGAGTGAAAAATACCTCTCAAGACAGGGCCATGCATTTCACAGGAGCACTCATTCTGGAGAGCTGAACCTGGAGAGCAGGTCCCGGACCTGCGACAATCCCACAGAAATGCTTGGCTCGGAAGGTGCCCCGTCATGCTTCACTTCTAAGGAGCGACCTGGAAACAGGAGCAACAGTTACCTACATGTTGCTTTCATTAGTGAGAGGAAACAGAATCTCACATGGACACTTGGTACAGAAAAGAAGCAGACCATAGGGCCATTTGTCACAAAAGAGTTGAGGTCAGGTTGAAAAACACAGCTGCCCTGTAGTACCAGGCCCCTAAAGTCACAAGCAGAATAAATCTTCCCCAGGAAAGGACACAGGAGTAAGGTGTGGCTGCTACAACCATATGATTTTCAACAAAGATATTCAAAATATAATATGGAGCCCAGCACCAGTGGCTCATGCTTGTAATCCTAGTTACTCAGGAGACTGAGAACTGAGAATTACAGTTGAAAGTCAGCCCAGGCAGGAAAGTCTGTGTGGCTCTTATCTCCAATTAATCACCAAATAAACTGGAAGTGGAGTCAGAGAACTGGTGGACACAAGTCTCAAAGACCAGCAGCCCCAAATGCAGGTAGCACAAAGGTTGTATGGGCCAAAATCATACAAGGTGTGTGGAATCAAACCCAACAAAAGTGTAATACATGAGCAAAGCGAACCAAATAAGGACACTTAAACCTAACAGAAAACCATCTAGGGAAACATGTAGGGAAAGCCAGCCTGAGCAAGAAAGTTCATGAGACACTTATCTCCAATTAGCCACCAGAAAACTGGAAGTGGTGCTGTGGCTCAACGTGACAGAATGCTAGCCTTGAGTGAAAAAGCCCAGGGAGGGCTGGGAAGATGGCTCAGTGGTAGAGTGCTTGCCTTGCATGCATGAGGCCCTGGGTTTGATTCCTCAGCACCACATAAGCAAAAAGAAAAAAACCAGAAGTGGCGCTGTGGCTCAAGTGGTAGAGCGCTAGCCTTGAGCTGAAGAGCTGAGGGACAGCGCCCAGGCCCAGAGTTCAGGCCCCACGACCGGACCCCCCCCCCAAAAAAAAAAACAAACCCAGGGACAGCATGCAGACCCTGAATTCAAGCCCCACAACTGTCACCCCCCCCCCCCACACACAAAAAAGATACAGCAAGAAATATTCAACATCTTTGGTCATAAAAGGAATGCAAATCAAAACTATCCCAATACTGCATTTCACCCCAGTCAGAATGGCAGCAATTAAAAGAAAACAAAACAAAAACCAAGGGGCTGGGAAGATGGCTCAGTGGTAGAGTGCTTGCCTTGCATGCATGAGGCCTTTGGTTCGATTCCCCAGCACCACATAAGCAGAAAAAGCCAGAAGTGGTTCTGTGGCTCAAGTGGTAGAGTGCTAGCCTTGAGCTGAAGAGCTGAGGGACAGCGTCCAGGCCCAGAGTTCAGGCCACACGACTAGCAAAAACAAAACAAAACAAAACAAACACCACCAACAAATGCTGGCAAGGATGTGGGGAAAGAGGAACCTTTATAAACTGTGGGTGGGAGTGGAAATCATGGAAGGTCCTCAAGAAACAAACTATAGGCCTAGCATATGATCCTGGACATAGAGAAAGAATGCAAACCAGCACACAGTGGCCACACATGCATGCTATGCATGCTATCTAACTGTGGCATCGGCCCAACTGTCATGTTCTCCCCTCGGCCAGGCCCTCTCTGAACCCATTTCAGCCAGTAGGCAGGAGTCCTGAGCACTCTGCCCATCCCAGAGGTCCTTTCTAGGTGAGAACCGGGAACTTACCCAGGGACGACGTGAGGGCCAGGTTCTCCAACATCACAGAGAAGTACAGGTGTCTCTGAGCCTCATCAAGAAGATTCCACTCCTCCCAAGAGAAGTACATGGCCATGTCTTCGAAGGACACGCTGTCCTGGCAAGGCAGGGGCTGCTGAGAGCACGAACTGCTATACTTTGGGAGGTCCACAATCCATATCCCACACAGCGACCCCCCCCCCCCCCAAGGCCATCCTCCTCTGGGGCTCCCGAACTCTGAGGAGACATTAGACCCTGGTCCCTGCTCAATCCTTCTGTTCGCCGCCGTCTTCACTCACGTGGTTTTCCTTTCTGCAACCCAACAACTGGTTAACACCTGGGCAGACCGCCTCCCTCTTCGGATCTAAAATTCTAAGTGGTACGGGGTTCTCCATCCCAAGGTCGAGGGGAAGCAGGCGAGGAGTCCCGGCCACTATAGACCTTGGGAGAACGTGGGTGGGCAGTGACGGGCTGGGCCGCTCTCCACGTACCACCACGGGTTCCAACGGCACTTCCGCAGCCATGGGGCCCCGCGGGGATGGGCAGCCCACGGGGGACGGGGAACACGGGGGCCTCTGCTCCCCAGGGCCGTCCTTGCCTTGCTCTGTCCCGGTAATATCGGGGCGCCTGTCCAACCTCCATGCGACCTCCGGCTCGCCGTGCGGCCGTGCAAGGCGCATCCACCGCGCCTCGCCTCGGATCTGCTTCCACCGGACGAACTCCAGGCCCGGTCTCGGATGGTGTCCCTCTCTTGTTCGGAATTCTCGGCGGTCCACGGGTCCGAGTGCTCGGCTGACCACGGCAGGTCTGCATCCACCTCGCCGCGGTCCCCGCCGGGTCCAGGGGCTCAGCCGGATCCCCGAACCTCCGCCCGCCCCGCGCCCCGGGACCCAGACCTCGGAACGAGGGTACCGCCCACAGGCGCCGGTGGGGCTGGGACCGACCTCGGTGGGGCCTGCGCCTGGCCACGGCCGACCTCCCCGGAGCCGCCTCAGGGTCCGGACCCGGCCGTCAGTCAGCTCGCTCTCGATGCTGCAAACCGAGGGACGTCAGAGAGCGGACCCCGGGGCCGGCGAAGATGACGTCCCCGAAGGCGCCGGAGGCCCCGCCCTACCTGCTCTCCACGCTGCAAACCGAGAGACGTCAGAGCGACAACCCCGGGGCCGGCGAAGATGACGTTGCCGAAGGCGCCGGAAGTCCCGCTCCGGAACCGCGCGCCCACGGGGCGTACCAGCCCAGGCTGGCTTTGAACTGCTGTCCTCGGAGTTCAGCCTCCTGAGTCGCTCGGGTGACGGTCGCGAGCCACCGGCACCTGGCGAACTGGTGTTGACCAGAATCTCCCACCATTGTGGAGAACACAGACTGGGCCCCGAGAATCCATTACGAAACATCGATTTTCCTCACTCTGCTGGCGAAGAACTGGGAGATGCGGGTATCGGTGAGGATGAGCACGAAGGGGCTGAGTGCAGGGAAACACGAGGCCACGAGCACAGAGGTGTTCACCACCCACTGGCCGCGGTGCGCAGCCAGAGTGGTCCAAACGGTCAGAAAGGCGTAGGAAGCGTAGAAGGTGACGAAGGAGCAGGCCAGGATGAGGATGGTGCGCATGGCTCTGATCTCATGGGGGTGCCTGCGCGTCAGGCTGTGAATGTGCCGCAGCCTCCGTCTGTGTCTGTGCAGGACGAGCACCATGGAGCTGCTGGCCCAGATCATGAAACTCAAACTCATCAAGTCAGGTGAGAAATATAAGAGTGTGTAGAGCGAGCTGTATCTCTCTGGCATATCCCAGGAACAGTAACCATGCTGCGTTCCCATGCTGAGATTGTTCTCGCTCAAAGGACCATGTATGATTAAATGAAGGAAGGAATTTATCAGGAGGTGGAGGGTCCAGCTTAGAAAACAGCAGGACCCAATGAACTTTAGAGATCTAATCTTGAATGCAATCCATCTGCAAATACTTGGGTTAAGTTTAATGGCCTGGAAGCCATTGAAGAGGCAGACCGTGGTGAAGGACACACCTGTGCCCACTCTGTAGAAGTAGAAGACAAGTTTACATCTCCTATCATCCAGGACATAGTTCCATCCCAAAGTAGTTATCGTCTGAGTTATGCCTTTAGAGGAAAGAACCATAGAGTTGGCCAACACCAACTGATTGAGAATCAGATCTTTGGGTCTGGAGAAATGTCTGGAGAGCAAAATGAAGCTGTACAGACAGAGGAGAGAGACATTTCCCACAAGGCCAATTGCTGTCTGAGTGAAGAAGACAATCCCAATATCCAGGCTGGCAGGAGACATCACAGCAATAACAAGAGCACACTGCATTCAGAGGAACACAGAGTTGAACACATGACAAATGACATTATCACCTGTTAGTCCAGAAGCCTCCTCCCTCATAGCTTAACATGCTCTTTCCCTAGGCAACACTAGGCCCATGTAGTAAAGGCAGCCAATGATCAGTCCCTACCCCCTTTCTCTGAGAGATCACCCCTGTGGGATAGCTATGACCATATAAGGCAACATGATCCCCCATATCCCAGAGGTTATAAAAGACCACCCGAGACAATAGCCAGCACTTCTCACTTCCTGTCACCTGGTGAGAAGGATCTTGCGGTCCCTTTACTGACTATAGCCGGATGTCCCTGTGGTTTTCTGGCAAAGTCTAACACCGCCACTGTTATGTCTCTTAATTTTCAATATTTAGTCCATACAATGTATTGTCACTTTGAACAGACACGGGATCCTGGCTCATGCACACAAAGACAACTGCAGAGATGGGTGAAGACAGTTGTGAGCATGACATGGGTGGTTTTCTATCAAGCAAGCCTCATGGAAACACAAAATCCAGAGCCTCTGCAGAACATTTCCTTTCTTAAAATGTCAGGATCTACACAGAAGTGCAGAAGTTTAATAGGTCAGAAGCATTGATAGGTGGAATTCATAAAGTTATCTGATGTTAGAGGCTTGCAGCTGTGATCCCAGCTACTCAGGAGACTGAGTTCTGAGAGTTGAGGTTCAAATCCATCCCAGGCAGAAAGTCTGTGAGACTCTTACGTCAAATTAACACCAGAAAACCAGAAGTGACACTGTGGCTCAAAGTGGTGGTAGAGCACTGGCCTTGAGCAAAAAAGCTCAGGGACAGTGCCCAGGCCTCAAGTTCAAGCCCCATGTCCAGTTAAAAAAAGGGGCTGGGAAGGTAGCTCAGCAGTAGAGCGCTTGCCTTGCAAGTATGAGGCCCTGGGTTCGATTCCTCAGCACCACATAAACAGAAAAAGCCGGAAGTGGCACTGTGGCTCCAGTGGTAGAGCGCTAGCCTTGAGCTGAAGAGCTGAGGGACAGCGCCCAGGCCCAGAGTTCAAGCCTCATGGCGGGCAAAAAAAAAAAAGTAAAAATAAAAAGTTATCTGATTTATAGTTTTGAGAAGTACAAATATCAATATTTCATATAGTTTTGAGAATAATTGAATTAGATGTTCAAGTGCAATATATCTGATATTCATTATCTGATATTCATTTAGTTTAGATTAAAATTTTATTAATTTTAAAATCAAAACAATTATTTAGATAATTAAAATTCACTTAAAGCTGGGCGTCGGTCCTCACACCAGTAAACCTAGCTATTCAGGAGACTGAGATCTGAGGATCGTGGTTCAAAGCCAGCCTGGGCCGGGCAGAAAAGTCCATGAGACTCTTATCTCCAATTAACCACCAGAAAACCACAAGTCATGCTATGGCTCAAGTGGTAAAGCGCTAGCCTTGAGCTGAAAAGCTGAGGGACAGCATCCAGGCCCAGAATTCAAGCCCCACAACCGAAAAAAAAATTCACTTAATTATGTCACCATGGCTCTCTATGTGTAACCTACCAGAAAGAGTTCAGTAACACTTAAAACAGACATATATGAATGAAAGCAAAAGTAGCCAAAGAGAAATATGAAGTAGTTGTCGTTATTTGTATTTTCCAATTACAATCATTTGTAGTTTTTATATACCAAACATTAAAATAATTGGCAAACAATTTTGGGCATGACACAGAAATAAGTGTGACTAAACATTTCCATTCCTTAACACTGTGTAATTTCAGAGGAAGCAATGCATGAAACATGTAATTTCAAAACATGTCTGCATTTCCTACATCTCATCAACAAAGCAGACTGGGCATTGTGAATAACTCCAAAGCCCTATCTCAAGAAACCAGCACTGTGACGCAGAACATCTGTGAAGAAATGCTAAGGGATGCGAGGTAGGAATGTGCTGTTGCGTCCCTAAAATGTCTTCTCAAGGGTACCCTGACCACTGGGGTGTGTGAAGTGTGAGCAGCGTCTCCAGGGTGGCTCTGGGAGTGCTGGGTGGGAGGGATGCACAGCCACGGTAGGAGTGCAAACTCCTGTCTGCTGCACTTCAGGCACACACAGAATACGGCACCTTAGCATGGTCACTTCCAGGGGTCACTTGGGATGAAGGACACATAATGATAACAGCTAGAATAGATGTGGAAGAATGAAAGCAGGGGTTGGGAAGGTGGTTCAGTGGTAGAATGCTTGCCTTGCATGCCTGAGGCTCTGGGTTCAATTCCTCAGCACCACATAAGCAAAAAGAAAAAAGCTGGAAGTGGCACTGTGGCTCAAGTGGTAGAGTGCTAGTCTTGAGCTGAAGAGCTGAGGGACAGCGCCCAGACCAGACCCCCCCCCCTCAAAAAAAAATGAAAGCAGCGGAGTGAACTAAATGAAGGAAGAACAGGACCAACTTGGGAGACCAGGACTGAAAGGAATTTACACAATATACACTATGGTCGGCACAGGGGAGCAGGAATTGCCCCTCACAAACCCAGGTCTGTGGGAGGAGCCTGTGAGGCCGAGGGGTGTGGTGGGTTTTTCCCATTCAGACTTAAAGTCTTCAGTAATTCAGAAAGCAGAGAAGAGTCACCGTGTCTCCAGATCTACATAGACACATGATGATCTAAGTCAACACTCTGAGCTGTGTGTGTGTGTGTGTGTGTGTGTGTGTGGTCCCAAGCCAGACTTAGGTCTCTTATTTCTGGGATGAGCCCTTCCTATAACCTGATGCCACCTGCAGGGGGTCAGCTCTTACCTGAGGCGCAGCTGAGGTGTGTGTGTGGGGCTCTGAGTCCTGAGCCGCTGGGGTCTGCGGGATCTTCACTGAGCCAAGGTGGTGGGAGGCTCTGAGTCCTGAACTCTGCAGGGTCTCTCCTACAGGTATCTTGCAGCACTCAGTTCATTTCTGGGGTTTGCTGGAGCCGCAGCAGTGGCCTTTACTGAGGAACTCGGTTCTGCACAGTGACATTGTAGACAGATCGTAGAGCATCAGCAAGAGCCAGTGAGGGAAATTTCTATGCTTAATCAGACCTCACTTGCTCCTTAACATTAAATCTGAAGACTTTTACCTTTGAAACTTCCAAAAAGCCCAGTCCTGAAGAAATCACATAAGCCGAATCTGGCAACGTCCCATGGATTTACAGTAGAGATGACTAGAGGAGTCTGAGTAAGTCTATATAACCCAAGCAAAATCATTGCTTCTCCCCGACACAGCTGTCCCCTGGGCAGCGGTGTCACGCAGGTGGAGAGGCCTGTGATCAGGGTTTGGGGCTGCCTGACCTCACCCCTGTGGGAGGCAATTATCATCGCACCTGGAAGTGCGGTGACAGTGCGTGTGTGCCAGGGGATGGGATCATGACTTCACTCTTGTGGGAGGCGATTATCATTGCACCTGGAAGTGCAGTGACAGTGCGTGAGTGCAAGGGGACTGTGATTATGACCTCATTCTTGTGGGAGGCGATTATCATCGCACCTAGAAGTGTAATGACAGTGCGTGTGTGGGGACTGTGATTGGTCATCTGCAACAAACACCTGTGCATTGTGTGGGCCTCGGAAAGCTGCTCAAGGTGATGAATGCAGATACCCACTGGGAGGGCAGAGATGGGCGAGACCCCCACACTGAAGTGAATGTCTGTGTGCATGGTTTCTAACATTTTAAATCACTTTGACAATCTGGAGTTCAAAATCTCATTCTTCAGAAGGCCACCAGTGCCTGGCAGCAATTTTAATATTTTGTTTCATTTACTGAACTGGTTTTATCTCATTTCCTTTGTCTCCACATACATACATCATACGTGTGTGTATACACAATTATATTTTTCTGAACGTTTTTTTTTTTTTTGGGTCCGGTCGTGGGGCCTGAACTTTGGGCCTGGGCACTGTCCCTCAGCTCTTCAGCTCAAGGCTAGTGCTCTACCCACTTGAGCCACAGTGCCACTTCCGGCTTTTTTCTTTTTGCTTATGTGGTGCTGAGGAATCGAACCCAGGGCCTTGAGCATGCGAGGCAAGCGCTCTACCACTGAGCCACCTTCCCAGCCCTTTCTGAACATTTTGAATGTAATTTGGTGCACATGTGCACGCACACACACACATACAAAAGCCATGTTATTCTAAGCAGCAATTTACCTGTGTTCTAACATAAACTCCCCAAATGAATACCCACACAGTCCAAGATTAGGATCACAATGTTTTATTCCACTGGAGATACTGGGCAGCAAGGCAAATTGAGCAAGCCCCAGTGAAAGCCAGTGTCTGCTGACAGGTGGTGAATGAAGTCCATCAACGAGGGGACTCATGAAATTGTTCACCCTTCCATACACACAGGCACAGTGCTAGCATTCTACCCACCCAGGGTGGTGCATGATCATAATTAGTGCATAAACCAGAGCCTTCGAGACATGAAGCTAGTGCTTTGTGTGACTTGCTGAGCACAAACACCACTCACAGGGAGGTGAGACTGGTGCCCACAAGCCTCCAGCTAGATCCAGACCCAGTCCTCCAAAGCAGTTGGACAGGGAACAGAGTGGCTCAGAAGGCACAGGGAAGGGGCGAATGCAGCATGTGGTGGGCGTGTGCACACAGAGCATTCTGTTAGAGGGAAGGTAGACAGCTTTCCGTGACAGCAGAGCTGGAAGTACTGTAACTTCTACACTGCAGGGCGGCGCCTGCAAACCTCCCTCCTGCCCAGAGCTCTTGGGATGCTCATCCAGGGGCAGAGGAGCCCTCACAAAGGCTCTCTAGGTCTGTTACAGTGAGCGGAGGAGACAGCCCATTCCTGGCAGGTCTAAAGCCTTTCTCAAATATGGGCTTCTGGAAGCTAGGTGGTGTTAGACCTCAGGCTGAGGCCTTTCCCAGGTGTACTGCCTTCCTGAGTCTCTCCATGGTGTGACTCTTTTGGTGTTGAAAGAAGCTAGAACGTTGGCTGAAAGACTTCCCACATTTGCTGCATTCGTAAGGCCTCTCTCCAGTGTGCACCACCTGATGTTGGAGGAGGTCAGACTTCTGCCTAAAGGATTTTCCACACTGCTCACATTCATATGGCCTTTCTCCCGTGTGAATTCTGCAATGCTGAGTAAGGCTGGTGCTTCGATTAAAGGCCTTCCCACATTCACCGCACTTGTAAGGCCTCTCTCCCGTGTGAACTGTCTGGTGCTTAATGAAGTCTGCTCTTCGGCTAAATGATTTCCCACACTGGTCACACATGTAGGGCCTTACTCTAGTGTGAATTCTCTGGTGTTCAAGAAGGCTGTAGCTTTGCCTGAAGAACTTCCCACACTGCATACACTCATAGGGTCTTTCTCCACTGTGAGTCCTTTGGTGTCGATCAAGTTTGGATTTGTACTCAAAGGCTTTTCCACACTCCCCACACTCATAAGAGCTTTCCCCGGTATGAACTCTCTGGTGTCTAATGAGTGTGGCTCTTTGGCTAAAGGATTTCCCACACTGGCCACACTCATAAATCTTCATTGCAGTGTGACTCCTACAGTGTTCAATGAAGTAGAAGTACTGTTTAAAGAACTTCCCACACTCCCTGCACTCATAAGGCCTCTCCCCGGTGTGAGTTCTCTGGTGTCTCATGAGGGTGGCTCTCTGGCTGAAGGATTTGCCACATTCCCCACACTCATAAGGCCTTTCCCCAGTATGAATTCTGCAGTGCTGAATGAGGTTGGAGCTCTGGCTGAAAGATTTCCCACATTCTCCACACGTGTAAGGCCTTTCTCCCGTGTGAACTCTCTGATGTATAACGAGAGTGGCCTTTTGACTAAACGATTTCTCACACTGGCCACAATCATAAGGCCTTGCAGTAGTGTGGATTTTCTTGTGCTTAACAAGGCTGAAGATTTGCCTAAACAATTTCCCACAGTCAGCACACTCATAGGGCCATTCTCCTGTGTGGGTCCTCTGGTGTCGAAGAAGATTGGACTTGCACCCAAAGGCTTTCCCACACTCCCCACACTCATAGGGCTTTTCTTCCCTGTGGGTTCGGCAGTGCTCGATGAGGTTGGAGCTCTGGTTGAAGGACTTCCCGCACTCACCACACTTGTACCGTTTTTCCACAGAGTGAAGTCTCTGGTGGGTGACGAGAGAAGCTTGCTGGGGAAAGGACTTGGTGCACTGGCTGCGCTGATGGTGCCTCTGTCCTGTGAGGCTCTTCTGGGGTGACCCAGGCCAGTGTGCACCTTGGAAAGCTTTTCCACATTTGCTAGATTCAAAGCTGCAGTCTGTGAGCTGCTGAACACTTGGCCATTTGGGGCTGGAAGCTCTTCTGTGTTCATCTGACTGGTGGCGACTTTCTCTGCAGTGGAGTGCCTCCCCGCACTTGGTGATTCTGGAAATGGCCTGAGGTTCGAGAGCGCCCCATCTGGCTGAGAAGTCCCTTCCAAATTCCCTGCAGAGGGAGGGGCTCTCCGACACTCGGTCCACGCTGTTCGTCAAGCAGCTATCCACATCTCTTCTTAACAGATTCTCACTGGTTTGATGCCTTTGGTCCTGGTGATAGTGTGCATGGGCCCCCATAAAATACGGCTCATATCCAGGTAGATCATCCAGATGCAAAATGTCTTTCAGGACTGGGGCAAAGCTGTCACAGAGGTGCATCTTCAATGTGGATGGCCCTGCCTTTGGAGTCCTGACCACTGACGGCTCTTCTACAGAAATGAACTGTAGAGAAGATGTCTCTTCATTCTTCATTTCATGCCAACAAACTGAAAGAGACACGGATGAAAGGCATGCTGAAAGTGGTGGATAATTTACATTTGTTTCTGTATGGTGTAACACTATTGGCCAGAGATACTGTCCCTTCTCCATGAGGGCTGGCCAGTTCTTCACAAAGACCACAGTTCATCAGAAAGCATGCAGCTCATATGCAAACAACCATCTCAGAGCCCACATTGCAAGTCTTTTTTGTGCCTTGTACAACTGGAATGTACTCCTTTGCCCTAAATGTGCTGGAAATAGTTAGTAGATGGCAAGGCCAGACCTCTTCTCAAACCCACTGAAGTCACCTGACCCAGTCAATATAAGCTGTTTTTTTTTTTTTTTTTTTTTCTGCTGTATCTCATGCAAAAACCCCAGTAAAGGCTGTAGCCTAACACTTTACCCTCTGATGTCTTTCTCCTGTCCACCTGTGGGCTCCCATGTCACAATGCTTTCAGAAATTATAGTAACATCTCTCTCTCTCTCTTTCTCTTCTTTTTGTCAATCGTGGGGCCTAAACTCAAGGCCTGGGTGCTATTTCTGAGCTTTTTCACTCAAGGCTAGCACTCTACCCCTTGGAATCACAGCGCCACTTCCAGCTTTCTGGAGGTTTTCTGGAGATAAGAGTCTCATGGACTTTCTGCCCAGGCTGGCTTTGAGCCACTCAGAACTTGGGGACCTTAAAATATTTGTTTTAAGCTGGGCACCAGTTGCTTATGCCTGTAATCCTGGCTACTCAGGAAGCTGAGATCTGAGGATCTTGGTTCAAAGCCAGCCCAGGCAGGAAAGTCTGTGAGACTCTTATCTCCAATAAACCACCAGAAAACTGGAAGTGGCACTATGGCTCAAGTGGTAGAGCATTTGAGCTGAAGAGCTGAGGGACAGCGCCCAGGCCCAGAGTTCAGGGTCCACGAGGACCACCACCCACCACCACCAAAAAGTTATTAATTCATGAATTTCATAAATTAAAACGTACCTGTTGGGGAAGTCTTAGGTACAAAATGAGGAACACATCAGCAAGGCTTTAGTGTGTGGGGGAGTGGGCGGGGCCATGATCTGTCTGGGGAAGGGTAGAGCAGCCTCCGGGGAGGAACGAGGTCGGGAGGACTCACCCACAAAGGGAGGACTTAACACTGAGGCGGTAAACAGTGAGGGAGGACTTACGCACTGAGGTGGTGAGCACAAAGGTCTCCAGCATCACATCCAGGTACAGGAGTTTCTGGGCCTCACCCAGGATCCCCCACTCTTCCTGGGAGAAGCAAACGGCCACGTCCTCGAAGGTCACGAGGCCCTGTGGTGAGGGAGGGGTCAGCTCTCGCTAAGCCCATCCCCCCCATGGCGGGGCCTCACACTCTTCTCCTCCCCCCTCCCCCGTTGCCCCCCCTCCCCCGCACGCAGGGGCCTAGCACTCCCGCCGCCACACCCCCTCCGGCCGGCCTTGCACCCCTGCCCGGCTAAGGTGTCCAGACGGGGTCAGAGCCCTGCACTCCCGCCCGCCTGCGAGTTTCAGGTCCAAGCTGCCTCACACCCGAGCTGCACAGGCCTCCAACCTGGGCCGCAGCCAGAGGCCTCTCCCGTCTCCCCATGCCGCTCCTAACGCATCCACGCCCGACTCAGCCACCGGCACTCCCCCTTCCCCGCCCCTGCCACTCCTCCCCACGGTCACACCGTCGCCTCGACTTCTCAGTTTCTCTCTCCGCGGCCCCAGGCCGGGCTGTGCCAGCCAGGCTGACCAAAAGCCCGCCGACATCGCCTCAGCCTCCTACATGGCGGAACGGCAGCGACGGGACTGGGCCACCGAGCGCCTCCCCACCTCCCGTGACACCGCCCCGCCGGCTGGCGGGCCCCCCCCGGCCGGTCCTCAGCCCCCGCACGGCGGCGGGGATCCCGCCGGGCGCCGCCCCTCCCCTTCCGACCCCCCCTACCTGAACCTGGGGAGCCCGGGGCCCCGGGACGGCCGCCATCACGCCCCGCAGACCACCTCCGCCTCCGCGTGCGTGCCCAGCCCAGCGGGTTGGCGAGGGCGATCCTCGCCCCGCACACGTCCGCGCCGATCCCTGCGCCGAACCCGTTCCCACTACAAGCAGCCACCCCACAAATAGTCCTAACCATCAAGACAGCTCCGGGGCCGGAAGCCCCGCCCAGAACCCAGGCTCCCCGGCAGTTGGGGTAGGGGTAGGGCGGGAAACGGCTGTTTTCCATGCCCATTGGCCGGGATGGCTGTTACTCAGTGAACTGAATTGTGGGCAATGTAGTTCTCGCGGCTCAGCCCGCAGTAAAAGAACGTCTAGAGGTGCGATCCTCCTACCCCGCCCCCGGTGCTCATCAGGAGGGTCAACTGCGTCCGCCAGGGGCTCAGGGCGCCTGTAGACACAAAGGAACGGCTGGCAGAGTGCACAGGGTCATGGTTGGAGCCAGCAGGTATCGACAGGTCACTGGCCCTCTGTGGTTGGAGTCTTCCCCCTGATCCTGGAACCAGCCTGTGCTCTCCCAGAAGTATGTCTTCATATTGGTGAGCGCCAAGCTAAAACAGGGCCATAAAACAAATGGATGTAGACGGGAGCACAGGGCAGTTATTCATAAGGAATGCAGGATGCTGACCACAGCAGGTAAGAAGTCTTACAGCCTGCTATTATACTTTTCTCACTGAAGCACAGAATGCTGATCCCTCACTGTACATCCCTTCTGTAAACATGATTCTCTAGGACTCCACCGCATAGTTACCACTACTGTGCTCAAGGTGTATTCAACAATAAGGTCTTTATTAGTGACAAACGAGCAATGTAGGTAGGAGCATCAAGTTCATGTGAGGCTAAGAACTTCCACAAGGAGCTAAGCCATTCTGAAAGCATCAAGCTGAACCGTTCCTCTGGCACTAATGGCATCCACCGTCACTCAGCAAAAAGGACTGAAATTCCCCTAATGATTCATGCTACTCAAGATTTCCATCACAGAATGGCAGAGCAGAGACATACTTGGCTTACTTTACCTTATCAGTGTAGATTCTGCCCACAAGGATGGCATGGTGATGGTTTCTCTATGACAGAGTGGCAATTATTTCACTCTAGCCAAGAGACCTCTATGACAGGATGGCAATGATTGCACTGTGACAAGCTTATGATGTGAGGAACAGCTCCTGGAGGCCTCACCAGATCCCTGGAAGGATGTGGTTCAGCTTCAGGCAGATGTCTCGCTAATCAAGGTTGTCTGGGTTAGGTATCCCAAACAGAAAGCACTCTCCCTTCAGGTCTGAGGCTGTTCCCAAGCAGGGACTCTCTGTTGCTGAGTAAGGTTGGAGCTTGGGCCAAAAGTGTTCCCGTAACAACCAACTCCATGTGGCCTTTCTATGCCGTGGTAGTTCTGGGGCTGAAGGAGATGAACATTTGTTGCATTCATCAGGTCTTTGTCTAGAGAGAAGCCTGTGGAGTACAATAAGGGCGTCTCCTCGCTTGCAGGATTTCTCATACTCTCCACATGAATAAGGCCTTTCTCCAGGTGGACTCTCTGGTGTACGGTCAGGGCATATCCTCGCTTGAAGGACTTGCCACACTGCTTACACTCATAAGGCCTTTCTCCATTGTGAACCACCTGGTGTCTGATGAGTACAGACTTCTGCCTAAAGGTTTTCCCGCATTCCCTGCACTCATAGGACTTCTCTCCAGTGTGAATTCCCCAGTGAGAAATAAGGTTGGAGCGCTGATTGAAAGATTTCCCACATTCGCCACACTCATAGGGCCTTTCGCCGTTGTGAACCACCTGGTGTCTGATGAGCACAGACTTCTGCCTAAAGGTTTTCCCACACTCGCCGCACTCATAAGACTTCTCTCCAGTGTGAATTGTGCTGTGACTTACGAGGTGGGTGCGCTGGGTAAAAGACTTTCCACATTTCCCACACTTGTAAGGCCTCTCTCCCGTGTGGACCCTCTTGTGCTTAGTGAGGGAACACCTTTCCCTAAATGACTTCCCACACTCTCTGCACTCGTAAGGCCTCTCTCCAGTGTGCACCCTCCTGTGTGTGGTAAGGAAACACCCTCGCCTAAAGCATTTCCCACATTCTCTGCACTCATAAGGCCTCTCTCCAGTGTGTACTCTCTGGTGTGCAATAAGGGAAAATCTTTCCTTAAATGATTTCCCACACTCTCTGCACTCATAAGGCCTCTCTCCAGTGTGCACTCTCTGGTGCTGGGCAAGTGAGTGATCATCACAGAACTCTTTCTCACACTTGTTATGCTCATACAGATTTTTTCCAGTGTAGACTCTTGGGTGATGAAAAGACAAACTTAAGGGTCTGGAAGTTTTTCTGCACTTAACCAACTTACAATTACTTTTTCCATGGTGAAAAGCCTCCCCAAACTCATTGTTTAGCTTCTCATCATTAGGAAGGACTCGGGGTCTCAGGTCTGACAGTGGGAAATCTTTCCAAAGGCCCTCACAGCTGAAGGGCTTCCCTGAGACACAAACTTCATCTCTCTCCAAAAGTGAGTTTTGGTCCATGTCCATCTTCCAGGGTTTCTCTGCACTGCGATGGTTCAGATCCTGGGGAAGGCCAGCCACATACAGTGTCTGCACGGGTAATTCTGCCAGGCGCACAATATCTTTTAAGACTGGGACAAAGAGGTCACAAGGGTGAGTGTCCTGGGACGGTGTGCCTGCCTTTGGAATCCTCAAGTGTGACATTCCTTTCAAAGAAACACTCTGCACAGATGTGTCCTCATCCTCAATTCCATACTCACAACCTGAAATCAGAGAAATGATGGCTACAAGCACGCAGGTGATGGCGGAAAGCTGAGCCAGAGAAAATGTGGTGCTGGAGATGAAACACAAGGCCTCATGCACGTAAGGCACGTATTCTACCACTGAGCTACAACTCTGGTCCCACATGATTGTTCTTAGGATACAGAAGCAGGGGTCCAGGTACAGAAGGTGTTGCTCTGCAGCACTGGGAACCTGGGCAAATGTCCCCTTACAAGGGACACAAGAACGAGTAGCTGCTGGGGAAGAGGCAGGGGTTTGAGCATACTCCAGAACTACAGGTGGTACCTATAGGTGGCACCAGGCCTGGAAACACAGTATGACAAGTTGGTGTCAAGTATAGGGGTGACAGGGTAGAAATGGGGTGTGTCCCATGGCACCCACCAACACTAAGCACACAGGAAGTTTCCTGACATGCCAGGGTAACAGCCAGGTACCATGACCTCATCAAGTGGATAGCCTTACCAACCCAGTTGCTCAGATTGAGAAGGACATGAAACCATGTCCCGAGGGAAAGGCAGGGCAGGTGACACCCTAGTGGCATTGAGCACAAGACACAATACTGGGAGGAGGGCCCAGACATCACAGCCCCTGGTCTGTGTGGCTCTCGATCACGATGATGCCCAGAGTTCCTAAAGGGGGCAACTGTGAGGTGTCACAGAGCAGCCACGCAGTCCGGGAGTGGGTAAGCAAGGGATGTCGAAGCTGACAGCCAGCCAACTTCCACCCAGACTGGTGCCTGTTCTCATTAGCTCAGCAGTCATTAGGGCTGCTCAGGGTAGTGTGCACAGCTCAGCTATGGCACCAACAGCACACGTGACCAAAAAATAGAGAAGTCAGCAGAGCCCAAGGACTAGTGGTAGATCTGAAGCTGCCTCTGTGGAAAAAGAGGCCATGCAACATGCAGGTAGGAGGGTCTTACCCAGGGAGGTTACCAGGGCAAAGGTCTCCAGCATCACGTTGAGGTACAGGAGCCTCTGGGTTGTGTTGAGGAACTCCCATTCCTCCTGGGAGAAGTAAATGACAACATCCTCAAAAGTCACACAGGCCTGTTGTGGCTGGAACAGAACATGCCATGATCAGCTCCTTTCTTGGAGTCCAGAGAGATCATCCCATCTAGCCCTCTCCATCTGTCCTGTACATTCAATACACCATCTCCCCACTTGGAGAAGGAGCTTTCCATTCAGTATCTGGTCAGTTTCTTTGCACAGCACTAGCAAGAAGATGAGTGTGGAGATACCACCTAACTTTTAGTGTTAGCATGTAGGGCTATATCTATTCTTGTTATACAACTGCCCAAAAGACACTCACGTGGTACTCTCCAGCATCACTAAATGAGGCTTTGCCTCCCTCACATTATCAGCAGCAGGCCGGAGGGCTGGCATTTTCTATGTTCTTCCGGGTGCATGTTTTCTCCCTAATGTGTACTCCCACAGCTGTTCCTGCCTTCTGTCCCTCAACACAGACATACCCTCGCTGTCCTCACCACTTGCTATCCAGTGTGCTTGATGCGTTGACAGAAGATGCACTGCAATGACACTGCAGGCTGGCCTAACAATTATGAACCATGCCAGGCTCCTAAGTCTGACCAGGGCATCAATTCTGGCATTATGATGGCTGGCCAGCAAGACCTCTCCACTAGCAAGACCCCTCTGTAGCATAGCTTCTTAACTTCACAAAACATGGAGGCATCGGGTACGAAGTAGGAGCACCAGGCCCTGGGCTGTTTTTTAGGAGCCAAGGCACACACAGGAGGTAAAAACCCGATGCTCTGCCAGAGCAGCATCCCCACTTTACACCAGCATTGTGACCTAACAACTATCACTGCCTCACACAGCTCCATCTTCCCTCCCCCCCCCCCCCCCCCAGCCCTAGACAGCGACCAGGCTATCCACATGCAATGGCAGATATAGGAAGAACACCTGTAGAAGCATACAAGCCCAGGCAATGGGAGGCAAGGGACAACACATCTTCCACAAAGGTTAAGCCTTCCCTCAAGCTTGACACTGTACAGACTAGTTTCTCTGGGCCCAAACTGAGTCTTCCTACTGCCACCCCAATATCATGTGGTGTCCACACTAGAGCCACGTGGAGCCCGACAAGTCCTGGGTCCTGTCATTCAAACTATGTCCATCTGAGCTGCCACTTCTGATTCCTGCACTGGCACTCTCAGCACCAATGAAAACACATGGCAAGCTCATCCTCAATTCCACACACGTATTCAAGTTCCTAAGGCTGTGGCAACCATTCACACCTTAACACATGGCTGCAAGCAATGCAAAACACTCCACAGAAGCCTTACTTTTTCACCATCAACTTTGAGAGCTCAAGAACTGGAAAGAAGGATCCTCCAACACGAAGGAGGCAAAGGGCGTGGTCACCTGCATGGAGGGTCCAGAACATCTTCCACTCACCTGTGTGGGGTCTCCTGGCACTTCCATAGTCATGGGAATCTGTGGGAAGAACAAGGCATGAGAGGCAGGCGCCAGGGCGGGCCCCATGGGCTCAGGGTTCCCTGTCCAACCCAGGAGTGAGGTGACTGAGGAACCAGTAAATTATCCCCAAGCTTCACCCATGGGAACATGGACAAGGGTCAAAGTTCTCTGTGTGCTCAGCGACCCTCCACCCCCACACCAACTGTAAGCAGCTTTTAGAAAACTATGAAAAGCCAATCTCAGACTGTGTGCCTCTTCTCTCCAGTGTTCTCGTGGTTCCCAGCCCCTTGAAGATGAAAGTCCTGACTTCCCTTAGGGACATGGATGCTCAACGGCCCTGCCCAGACTTCATGGGGCCAAAGCCTTGGTACTCAGGGCTCACCCACTCCTGGCTGCAGTAGCTGAGACCTGACGTGGCCTCCTCTGGCACACACAGACGGGGAGACAACACCTGGCCTCCTCCAGACACACACAGATGTGGAGACCACGCTCAGTCTCCTCCAGACACACACAGAGGTGGAGACCACACTCTGCCTCCTCCGGCACACACAGATGTGGAGACCACACTCTGCCTCCTCTGGCACACACAGATGTGGAGACCACACTCAGTCTCCTCCAGACACACACAGATGTGGAGACCACACGGCCTCCTCGGGCACACACAGATGTGGAGACCACGTTCTGCCTCCTCCACACACAGATGTGGAGACCATGCTTGGCCTCCTCTGGCACACACAGATGAGGAGACACTTAGTCTCCTCCAGACACACACAGATGTGGAGACCACGCTCTGCCGCCTCCACACACAGATGTGGAGACCATGCTCAGCCTCTTCCAGACACACACAGATGGGGAGACCAACCTCGGCCTCCTCTGGCACACACACAGAGGTGGAGACAACACTCGGCCTCCTCCAGACACACACAGAGGTGGAGACCACACAGCCTCCTCTGGCACACACAGATGTGGAGTCCACACTCTGCCTCCTCCAGACACACACAGATGTGGAGACCAGGCTCGGCCTCCTCCAGACACACACATGTGGAGACCACGCTCGGCCTCCTCCACACACAGATGTGGAGACCACACTCGGCCCACAGGCAGACGCGGAGGCACGGGCCCGGACTCGGGCGGAGAGGGAGTGGGCAGGTGGCACAGGCCCGGGACCCTCGGCGTGGCGGCCGCCCTGGCAGCCCACAGGCCGGGCTCGGCCCCGGCTCCAGCCCCGGCCGCCGGGCCGCGAGTACGCGCACCCCGCGCACACACGCCGCGGGCCGCCTCACCCGGCCCACGCCCCCACGGCTCCGGCCACGGCACACACCCGGAGTGGCGGCGAGAACAGCGAAGGCGGTGCGGAAGTCCCGCCCAGCGCCTGCCTGCCGGACACGGAAGTGGCCTTCCTCTCAGCTCATTGGCTCAGACCTTCACCGCTCTCCGCTGCGCCTTCTGGGTAATGTAGTTCACACACCGAGGTGCCGCCTAGGCAAGGAGCGGGGCATGGGTTAGAGGGCAAAAGTCTACAGTTCACTCAATGCGCACCACAGTGTGTTTAGAATTGGTCAGAACGGCGTCCTTCCAACGCTATGGGTATCAACTCCCTTCCAGCCGCTCAGTAACACGGAGGCCAGGACCCCCACCTGCTTTTTCCTATCATGAAGCTTAGAAAAACTGGCTAAATACCACTTCTCCCTATGGAGCGGAGTGTGAGGACGCCTGGATTCCATGAGCATGGTGAGAATAACCAACGTGGGTCCAACCAGGGTTCTCAGTCTGTTGGGTCCTGTACGCACCTCAGGCCTGGCGGTTCCATCTGATCTCCATTGGTCTAGGACAGCACCAGGCCTCTCCATCCATGTCACTACTTTTGGCATTCCCCCCAGGCCTCCCATCTCCATCGATGTTACCCCTGTCGGCATTCTCCCTCAGGCCTCCCAAAATTCTTTTTTTTTGGGGGAGGCGGGGGTCCGGTCGTGGGGCCTGAACTCTGGGCCTGGGCGCTGCCCCTCAGCTCTTCAGCTCAAGGCTAGCGCTCTACCACTTGAGCCATAGCGCCACTTACGGCTTTTGTCTTTTTGCTTATGTGGTGCTGGGGAATCGAACCCAGGGCCTCAGGCATGCAAGGCAAGCACTCTACCACTGAGCCACCTTCCCAGCCCCAGACCCAACAGAAATGACTGCAACTTCCCAGTCTTCAGTCAGCACATGCCAAACCCTGTTTTTCCTTCAAATAAGAACAGAAACCACTCGGGCTATGAACTCATTTATTTCCTGTTGTAATAACATTTACAAAATATACTGGCTTCATGGACAAAGATTATATTTTACAAGGCAATTGTCTAAGTAGTCTGCTGACTACTTAGGATTCTGCTCACTAAGGAAACCAACTCTTACCTGAGTCAAGGTTAATTTCAGGGGCTGGGAAGATGGCTCAGTGGTAGAGCGCTTGCCTTGCATGCCTGAGGCCCTGGGTTTGATTTCTCAGCACCACATAAGCAGAAAAAGCCGGAAGTGGTGCTGTGGCTCAAGTGGTAGAGCACTAGCCTTGAGCTGAAGAGCTGAGGTACAGCGCCCAGGCCCAGGGTTCAGGCCCCACGCCTGGACAAAAAAAAAAAGTTAATTTCAGTGTTATGTCCAATTCTCTTAGATGAATACCTTAGAACTGTGGTTACACAAAGTAGTATTATTTAGATCTAAAGTGTTGATTTTGTCAGTGCTATATTTAATATCTAGCCAGAGATACCAAATTTTCTCTCCAAAGGTGAAAAGCTAAAGCAATATGGATGTATTTATACTGGTTTCTTTGTATAATAAGTATATTTATGTTGTCCAAGTCTCCTAAAATTCATAGCTTAGGAAATTAACAGGTGTGAGTCACCACCGCCCAACTGTTATTTGGTCATCTATGGCTTGGTCCTTCTCTGTAACATATGTAGTTGGGCCCATTAAACAAACAAACAAACAAACAAACCAAAGACTCTGAGCTAGGCGCCAGTGGCTCACACCTTTAAGCCCAAGTTCAAGGCTGGAAACTAGTTTTTGCTAGAAACTAGCAGAAAAGTTCACAAATTCCATCTCTGATTAACCAGCAAAATGCTGTACTAGAGATATGGCTCAAGCGGTAGAATACTAGCTATGAACAAGCAAGGTGAGGTCCAAATCCCAGAACCAACACAAAAAAATAAAAGGACTGTCAAATACTTATCGGTCAAAAAGAGTTTTCAAATAATTTGCTTTTGCAGACTTTGTTTTGTATTTTCCCAATAAAATCTTGTGACTGTCTGCTGACCTGCAGAAGCAACAGCTTCTGAGAACAGCAATAGGAGCAGCATTGTGATCAAGGACATCGCCTACAGAACAGACAGAATTAAAACCATCTTCAGGTAAGGCTGTCTAGAGACCACTTCTAAACCTCTCTGGCCTTAGTGGTATCAGCCAGGATATAACTACTCAGCAAACACATTAGAGTTGTCTTAATGGCTCAGGCTGCTGAAGATTCCCACCAGGAACACAGGCTGTGTGCATCGTGCTGTCCATCAAGTGTACCACTCGTCCACTGTGTAAGGTGGTACAGGGGGACTTCTCCTCTAAGACAGAGGGGCAATGAACTCTCTGTGTCAAAAGCCCTGAAAAGTGCAGCATGTGCAAGGCAGCTCCTATGGGCCTCAGGTGACTTTACCCCAGAGCTCAGGGCAATCTCCCTGTGGGGACTCTCACCTGCTGGACACATCCGGTGTGTAGCTTACTTGCAGGCATATGGGTTCCTAACAGAAGCTCTTTAGTATGGAAATACAAGGTGGCACCATCCTTCCTGTTCTAAGGCTGTTCCCAGGGAGGGACTTCCTGCTGCTTAATAAAGCTTGAACTTGGCACTGAGAGCTACAACTGTCACCTTCACAGGGACTTTCTATGATGTGACAGTTCTGGTGTTGAAGGAGACCAGAGGGTTCTGCAATTCGTTTCTGAGCTTCACTGTGTCCTCAAGGCCTCTGTGCAGCATGAACTGTTCCATGTGTAATGGGGTAAGATCTTTGGTTAAGGTGTTACCTATGCTGAACACACTCTGGAGCTTTCCCTCACTTTGCACTCTCCTGTGACGAATAATACTTGTTTTGTGCCCAAAGACTTTCCCATATTGCTCACACTCCTAAGGACATTCTCCAGTGTGGACCCGCCCATGAATAATGAGATGAGCTCTCTGGTTAAAGCCTTTCCCACACTGGCTACACTCGTATGGCCTTTTCTCTTTGTGGGTTTCCTGGTGATGAACAACATTGGCTCTGTACCTAAAGGCTTTCCCACACTCACTACACGCATAAGACTTTCTCCGGTATGAATTCTGGAATGCCCAAGAAGGTTTGCACGCTGAGTGAAAGACTTCCCACATTCACCACATTGATAGGGCCTCTCTCCAGTGTGGACTCTCTGGTGTACCGTCAGAGCATCTCTCTGCTTGAAGGACTTCCCACACTCTCTGCACTCATAAGGCCTGTCTCCGGTGTGGACTCGCCGGTGCATAGTGAGGTCCCGTTCTTGTTTGAAGGATTTTCTACATTCTAAACACTTGTAAGGCCTTTCTCCATTGTGAATCACCTGATGCCTAAGGAGAACAGACTTCTGCCTAAAGGTTTTCCCACATTTGCTGCATTCATGAGACTTCACTCCTGTGTGAATTCTACAGTGACTTTCGAGGTGGGCATGCCAAGTAAATGATCTCCCACATTCACCACAAATATAGGGCCTTTCTCCCGTGTGAACACTTTGGTGGGCAGCAAGGGTACCTCCTCGCTTAAATGACTTCCCACACGCCTGGCACTTGTAAGGCCGTTCCTCCGTGTGGACAATCTGGTGTGCAGTGAGCGCACAGACTTCCTTAAATGACTTCCCACATGCCTGGCACTCATAAGGCCTCTCTGTGGTGAGGACTCTCCAGTGTACAGTGAGCGCACAGATTTCCTTAAAAGATTTACAACACTCCCGACACTTGTAAGGCTTCTCCCCAGTGTGCCTCTGCTGGGGCTCACCATGGAATGCACCCCCATGTTTGCTGGGCTCACCAGGATTTTCTGGTGTGTTGATGGTAAGGTTATGGCCGGACATAGCCCTGTCATGACTTTTCCCGTGGTGTAAGGCCCACCCCCCATGCTCAGCATTGTTTGGCTCCTCACCTTTAGGAATGACACAGAGCTGCAGAAGGTCTGGATAATCCGAGAGCTCTTTCCACAGACCATTACAATCACATGGCTTCCCTGACATACCAAATCCATAGCTCTTTAGAGACACAGTCCCGGCCATGCCGTTTTCCAGAGCTCTCTCTTCTCTGTGATGCTGAGGCTGGCTTGTATACACTGCCACCAAGCAGTGCTCTGGCCCAGGAGGAGCAGCCAGCTGTAAGATGTGCTTCAAGACGGAGGCACAGGTGTGGCAGGGGTGAGTCTCGGGGAGGAATGGACCAGTCCTGGCAGACTCCAAGTGTGACACTCCCCTCAAAGATGCCTCTTTATCCTGGACTCTGTGCCCACAGCCTGAAACCAGAGAAATGATGATGAAGTACATGTAGCCCAGGGCCTTGTACAAGTGAGGTGTGCTCTCTACACTGAGATAGTACAGTGTGTAAGATGTGGAATTGGGGGCTGTTTTGGAAGAAAAGCCTCGATCACTGCATTAAGCATCTGAAGACAACAGAATCTGGAAACTTCCATGGGTGAGCTACAGCACAATGAGGGGAGGCAGCATTTCAATTTGTTTCTCCGCAAACAACTTATAGTTATTTGCATCTCCCCTTGAAAACTGCCAGGCTCACCACACAATTTCCCCTAGCCAGAACTTTATTTTTATTTATTTATTTATTTATTTTGGGTCTGGTCGTGGGGCCTGAACTCTGGGCCTGGGCTCTGTCCCTCAGCTCTTCAGCTCAAGACTACTGCTCTACCACTTGAGCCACAGTGCCACTTCCGGCTTTTTTCTTTTTGCTTATGTGGTGCTGAGGAATCGAACCCAGGGCCTCATGCATGCAAGGCAAGTGCTCTATCATTGAGCCACCTTCCTAGCCCCCTAGCCAGAACTTTATATCACCAGATAATAAGCTTATGCTATGTACAAAATTGGTTGAATCCAAGCTGGCACAGGAGGCCCATACCTGTAATCCTAGCTACTCAGGAGGCTGAGATCTGAGGATGATGGTTCAAAGCCAACTGGGCAGAAAAGTCCCTGTGAGACTCTTATCTTCAATTAACTACTCAAAAACCAGAAGTGGCTCAAAGTAGTAGAGCACTTGCCTTGAGCAAAAGAGCTCAGGGACAGCTCCTAGGCCCCAAGTTCAAACATCACAACTGACAAAAAAAAAATTGAAACCATGCCTAGAAAAACAAACTTGAGGGCTGGGAAGGCGGCTCAGTGGTAGAATGCTTGCCTTGCATGCATGATGCCCTGGGTTCAATTCCTCAGCACCACATAAGCAGAAAAAGCCAGAAGTGGCGCTGTGGCTCAAGTGGTAGAGCTAGCCTTGAGCTGAAGAGCTGAGGGACTGCATCCAGGTCCTGAGTTCAAGCCCCACAACTAACAGGAAAAAAAAAAAAGAAAAATGAATTAAGCTTAGTGATATTTATACATAGCGTTGATGCACACTGCTGAAGGGCACGGGGCTGAAACAAGTAGTATGGAGGGACAGGAAGGGTGGGGGAGCCAGGGTCCAGAGGCACAGTGGGCGTGACAAGTCACAGGAAGGTGGAACATGTCCATCACAGGCACTGGGAGGCAGGCTGAGCTGCCCACGGTGATATTTGCACTAAGCCTGACATCGGTCAGTCTCCTGGCATCTGAAAAGAGCCCAGATGTGATACCCTCCCACTGGGTCTCCCTGACTGGCACAGGTCTTTCTGAGATTGTCCCACCATATCTGCCCTATGCAGCAACCGAGATCTCCCTGGATTCCAGCTGTGCATCCTATGAGAGGTACCTGACCCAAGTTCCCAGGGGAAGACAGGGCCGTTGAGCTCTCAGCAGCGGTCTTGGGCAGCTCAGCACACAACAGACCAGAAAAAGTGGTATTTCGAGGGAGACTAGAAGGAAGGTCTGGCAAAAAATACAGCTCATGGTCTGTGTGGGCATCGATTGCAGCAATGCATGGAGTCCTTTAAACAGGTAGTTTTGAAAAAATGTCCCCCCAAGATGATGTGGGCAGAATGAGGAACAAATGGCACCAAGGATATCCAAGACACCCACTTAGGGGGAGCGTGAGCAAGGTGAGACTAGCTAAGCTGACTTCCATCCTTGTGGGTGCCCACAATGGTAGCAGTGTGAACAGCTCAGTACACGTGACAGGAAAAGGACAAGAGAGCAGAGCCCAAGGGCTTGCAGTTCAGGGGAAAGCCGTCTTTGTGGGAATGGGGGATGAGCAGAGCCAGGGCAGAGGTGGGTGTGGCAGGCTTACCCACTGAGTTTATAAGTGCAAAGTTCTCCAGCATCACACCAAGGTAGAGAAGCCTCTAGGCCTGACTGAGAAACCCCAGCTCCTCCTGGGAGAAGAACATGGCCACATTCTCAAGCGTCATCCAGGCCTGCGGGGTTGGAAGAGAACATGACACCATCAGCTTTTGCCCTAGGGTTGATTCCAGGTTGATTCACCTACACTCACCCCCTTTTGACAATACGGGTCACCTCCTACTTCCCCCTTCCCCCCCCTTTCCCCCCAGAGAAGGTGCCGGACTTTGCTGCCCCCGACAATCAGTCTCCTACGACTGTCAGTCTCCTACGACTGTCAGTCTCCTACACTTGATCATTTCCTCCGCGACAAGGCAGGCAGGCGAGCAGGGAGACACCACCTGACTTCTGGGCCTGGTAGGCAGGGCTGCCTCCACTTTGGTTAGACAGGGGCTCTCCAGAACGGCACTGGGGTGCGGGATGGCCACACGCTCTCCCCATATGCAGGTTTGGAGCCACACCTCCCTCCCTCGCAGCCCTGACACACGCAGTTACCTCCCTTGGTGTCTGCGGTGTGCTCGCACACTCAAACGGCGCAGTAGTTCCCGCTGCACTTGTCTCACACATTGGCCGGGCTTCCCGTATGGTGGAGCAGCGCCCAGCCTCTCTCTCCCCGCTGGTTGCTGAGTGGCATTATAAATCACTTTGTACAAACTCCAGCCAGGGCTTGGGGTTTCTTTAGGATCTCCAGGCCCGTCGAGTGTTAGAGAGGAAGCCACGTCTACCGAGGACACAATTCCAGGGACTGAGACCGAGGCCCTGGGACGCCACTCACAACACCTGCTCCTAAGGGGGTTCAGTCCCGGGGGTGAAGGGGAGGCGGGCTGGGGGCCGTGGCTGGGGCTTCCCGGACCCAGGTCCCCCTTTCTCCCCTGCCCATGGAGCTACGCGTCCTCCGAATTCCCAGCCTGACTGACCGCCCTGGGCGGTCTGGGCAGCTTCTGGGAAATGCACGCTGAATAGCCTGAATCCAGACGGTGATCCTCCCTTCTCACAGCCCCCCGGCTCCGGGTCAGGAGCGCGGGTGAAATTCCAGGGATGCGAACTTTACCTGGACCGCGGGCTGCGTGGCGGTGGTTGTCAGCGCCGGCCGGAGGCTGCCCGGAGGACCCGGGCCCAGCGCCGCCGCCGTCGCCGCCGCCTCCCGGGGAAACCGGGGCGTCCAGGACTCTCGTCTCGCCCCTGCGCAGTCCTGTCGCCTAGGTCGGGGTGCCATGACCCTGATGCTGTGCGGGTGCAGAGGGAGACCCTGAGATCCGCCAGAGTGACATGCGGTAGCGACGCCAGAAGTCCCGCCCAGCATCTGCTCAGAGAGCCCTGAGTGCTCTAGTCGAAACTCATTGGCTCAGCCTACTGCCACTCGCCTCGATGCATTGTGGATAGTGTAGTTCTCTTCGCCCCAAGGCTCCCAGGGGAAGGCAGTCTGCACCAGGGTGCCAGGAGACCAGATAGAGGGGGACATTCGGGGGGTACTGCCTGCAGGAGTCAGGTCTCAGGGCGGGGAACAAACATTGGGATCCTCTGGGAAAGGATGACATGCACATTCGTGAAGGGGTGTGTCTTTAAGGTGAAGCACACCTGCATACAAGTCCAAAACCCTGAGTTCTAATCCCAGTACCTCTAAAATAATTTTCCCCTCATGATGGTACGGGCCTGTGGCTGTTCCCATCCAAGCCATCAGAGCATTTGATGGTATAATGCCCGGAGACTTGGAGCGCTGGAAAAGACCACCAGGGACCAAAGATCAATGCAAGCAGCAATGAGTCATTTATTTATTTATTTTTTTGGGGTCCGGTCGTGGGGCCTGAACTCTGGGCCTGGGCACTGTCCCTCAGCTCTTCAGCTCAAGGCTAGTGCCACTTGAGCCACAGCACCACTTCCGGCTTTTTTCTTTTTGCTTATGTGGTACTGAGGAATCGAACCCAGGGCCTCAGGCATGCAAGGCAAGCGCTCTACCACTGAGCCAACTTCCCAGCCCCCAATGAGTCATTTATTGAGGAGCTCGAGCAGGACCTCTCTGTGCACTGATGTCCGAGTGCAGACGAGGGGCCCCCAGCACAGGGTTATAGCACTTTTTATATGTTTTTTGGTAGGGGTAAGGCCTCAGTATGTATTGGCAACAAATCAATACACCATGCAGGAAATTTAAATCATAATTCTAGCGGATGATTGGGGTAATACAAAGCGGGGTGGTGGGGGGGGAAGGGCTGGGGCTAATAATTGGTCAGGCTAGTGGACTGTTGTGCTCTAAAATAATTGGACGGTACTTCTAAGGTGACTTAGGGGAAGTGGTTGCCAAATGGCCACTATCTCTGATCTCGGCCCGAGGGAAGTGGTTACCAGATAGCCACTATCTCCGATCCCCGCCCTGGGGGAAGTGGTTGCCAGATAGCCACTATCTCTGATCTGAGGCTGGGGGGAAGTGGTTGCCAGATGGCCACTATCTCCGATCCCAGGCTCGGGTGTGTGTGTGTTGGGGGGGGGGGGTCTGGAATGTGTATTTTGTCTCGTACTCCCTGCCAGAGGGTCATTAACTTCAGCTCCAGATCTGGGAGTGTCTAGGGCTGGAGGGCAGGTAGAATAGCAGCTTCATTCTTCAAGGTTTAGCAAGCTTGTGTAAAGAAGCAGAAAGGCAAGTTAAAGAAAATACAAAATGGCAAATACAGGTCTAATACAAAATGGCAAATACAGGTCTATCACGCTTCTCAATGGTAGGTAGTTGTGTAGACACATTGACTGACAGTGCCAAAAGTTTCCATCCAAGCACCTGGAAGTGCAGAAGAACTCCTGAGAAGTGCCACCCCTTGCACGTTCCTGTGGTGTCCTGGGCTCTCTGGAAATGCTAAATATTGAAGTTATGACATTTACTCAGCATGTTGTAAGATATCTCAGTTGAGAGAAACAGGAAAGCTACATTTTGAGAGGTCAAATCTGGAGTCTTTATTGGAGAGCTGTCAATTGCAGGTGGACTCCTGTCCCAAAGACTTGCAGTCCCTTGAAATCACTTAACACTGTCAGAAAATTGTGCCATGAAAGTAGGAGAGGAAATGAAGAGAAAAACAATCCCAACAAACCAAATCCTCCAGTGGAGAGCTGAAGTGGCATTCCATGGTGACAGAGGAGAGCCAGGAGACAGGAGACACAGGAGGTATAGCACGTGAGTCATGGCAGAATGGGGCCTGGTCTGGTCAAGGCCTAAATAGGGGCAGGATCAGAGGGTAGCATCACAGGAAACTGGAGAGTCTCCCAAGTTAAAGGCCCTGATGGATAGGTCCAGTAACCTATTGTTGAAATTCACGCCCCTACCTCTAGGAATTCAGGCAAGGCTATTATTACCTGGGAGGTGAGATTTTACTCTCCTCCACCATGAAGACAAGACAGTGCCAGCTAAACCCAACTCCCTATCCACCATGTGGCCAAAATGTTGCCATCACCCATATTCATTCCCTACTGGTTTTATGTATGACAGACCTGCATTGGGCCCTTAGGACTATGCCCAACCAAGTTACTTATAACTGAAGTTTACAAGAGGCTCTTCTATACTAGACCTGTTCCATATGCATGAAACAGCATGACCAGTAATCCTTGCCCCGGCGTGGCTGGGTAAGATGTACAAATCTATGTACTACAGAAAGAATGTCACAGAAAAGTTCTAGGTTCAGAAGATCCAAAAGGGACTTCCACCAGGAATGACCTGCACGTAGAGGAGCCAGGCAGGGGTCCTATCTACTGTCAGCACAGTGGGGGGTGGTTAGGATGACGATGTAGAGAGTCTCTTCCACATGGCTGTCAGCCATCCTTGATGAACTTCTGAACACCAAGTTGGAAGGGATGGGTTGGATCCAGGTTGGGAAGCAGCAGTGTCCCCACATTTCTCAGATGGCACACCTCCTGCTGGGTTGTCTCTAAGTTCTGGAACCAGACTAAAATTAAGGATGCAGTTTTAACTTAACCTAAGGCAAAAATATGACTTTAGCAAAGTCTCACAATTCTCTCCTGGTTGCTTTTTCTGAATACACAGGCTTGGCAGGTGGGGGCCCACTGGTTTCCAAAGTAGTTTTCAGGCAGTGACCCAGCACAATTTACCAGGGTGACAACTTTTGTTAACAAGATTTTCTCCAATAAGGCTAGGACAACCTGGGCAGACATGGAAGGCTTAGGCCAGTACCACTGTTTTTTATGTCTCCTTTTACTTATCCTTCCTCATTTTCCTAAAAATGACTTTGGTCCCTTGATCTTACAGAGGATTGATTGTCAAAGATCCATCTCCTGTAAGTTGTTCAAACTGACCCAGGGGTGCTGGTCCTGCTGTACCACAGCCCTAAAGCCTAAGCCTATTTTACCAAGGGTTTATCAAGATCAGATGTCATTAGGAACAATATATTTTGCTCCAAAATGGAAAGTGCATGCAGCACTCAACTTTTATTATGTGTACAGACTTTTTCTTTTCATTTTATTTTATTTGGATCTGGTCGTGGGGCCTGAACTCTGGGCCTGGGCGCTGTCCCTCAGCTCTTCAGCTCAAGGCTAGCGCTATACCACTTGAGTCACAGTGCCACTTCCAGCTTTTTTCTTTTTGCTTATGTGGTGCTGAGGAATCAAACCCAGGGCCTTAGGCATGCAAGGCAAGTGCTCTACCACTGAGCCATCTTCCTAGACCTTCCTTTTATTTTTTAAACTGTATTCTTTTTTGGTACTGAGGATTGAACCCAGGACGTTGCACTTGCTAGGCAAGCACTTTGTCACTGAGCTACATTCCATCCCAGACTTTTTCTTGAGGTACAGTAGTGCCTGTTCAGCACTCTGGTTTGCAAAAGCATTTCCTAGCTGTCTGGGGAATCTGATCTTTGGTAACATTTACAACTTCAGAAGGTCCCTAGACAGCCCAATAGAGGCACAAACTCAGGCTCATGACTATTGGGTACAAATCTCTTTTCCTGAACAGATGAATTTATGTGTCTACTGCCAGACCAAAACTCATTGCTAATTAGAGCTTTGAGCAGTGTTAGAGAAATGAGCTCCCTTCCCATAGCTTAGTACACTCCTTCCTCTTTCCACAGCTTGGCTTACCCCCTTCTTAGGCAACACTAGGCCCATTTAGTAAAGGCAGTAAATAATCAGCCTCCAACATCCTTTACCTTGGGATGGCACTTCTCTGAGGCAGCTACCACCATATAAGGCAGCAAGAGCCCCTTAGAGTGACCTTCAGGTCTGGGCAGCTACAGGGCTGCATAAATCCTAGCAGCCATAAATCCTAGTCTGCCATGATGAAGTCCCTGGCCTGCATGTCCACACCTTGGTCTTTGCCCCTTAGCCCCTTCTAGTCCCTCTTAGACCTCCTAGGTTATATAGGTCACCCAGACAATAGCTGGTGCTTCTTCTCACTTCTCCCTTGTGAGAAGGGGTCTTGCAGCCCCTTTCCTGGCAATAAACCTTTCTTTGCTCTCTGTACTTGGATATCTGTATGGTTCTCTGGAAAAGTCTAATTTACCCTATCAAGCAGATACACAGGGCAGGAATTTTAAACTATTGCCTCATCAACAACCTTAGCTACCCTCTATAACAGATGATTGACAGGCAAGGGAGCTAGTTTCTGCCCAGTTGCAAAGTAGGCAGACATGGGCATTAGATGAGCATGTTCATACACTATTTTTTTATGACCTCCAGGCTCTGATTAATTTTCAAGGGCCAAGCACAAGTGACTCCAGGATGTGACACTATCTCTCTTATTTGAGCAGTGTCTTCCAACTGCTTCTGAATGCTCCATCATCATCAGGACAAGCTTCTGTCCTAGAAGTGTCTTTTCCAGGCTGTAATGATGTCCCCATTGGCATTTCCCTCTGGCAGTTGCTGGCCTTGAACTCAGGGCCTGGGTGCTGGCCCTGAGGCAAGCACTTTACCACTTTGAGCTACAGCTCCACTCTTCCAGCACTCTGTTGGTCAATTAGAGAAGAGCATCTCCCAGGGACCTTTCTCTGCCTGGGCTTGTTTTGAACCTCAGTCCTCAGATCAAATGAGTCTTGGTTAAAAGCTCCTTTAATCCAATTGAAGCAACAAGGAAACCAATAGTAGTTTTTTAAAGCATGGCTTGCTTGGAACTTACTAAGAGCCAAACTTATATCTGACAAACATGAAGGAGTCTTTTGTAGTCACCTGTGGTCCCACCTGTAATTTACAGAAGACCTATAAAGGCAAAACCTAGACAGCAATTAAACACTCTTTTTGGTAGTTCTAATTTTCCCCTTTTCTACTTTGAAACAAATA